TTGGTGGGTTTTTGTTAAATGTGAGCCAAAATCATCACAATTAAAAGAACCAAAGACTTAAACTACTTCAGTCTGTATGCATTGAATTTATTTAATACACAAGTTTCACAATTTGTGTTGAATTACTGAAATAAATAACTTTTCCACGACATTCTAATTTATTGAGATGCACCTGTATTTACTGTATATTGCTGCTGCCACACATATCTAAAATAAACATGCGATTCATTTCCCAGTTGTTTACCTTCACAGACATAACAGACTGTTTTTGTAACTCATGTGTGTTTTTAACATAAACATGTGTGTGAATGAGAACTTAAGTTTAGTACGCGCATGCTGTGACAGCCGCTTTCTGTCCGTGTGCACTCAGAAAACCGTATATCTGAAGTTTAAACTAATATGGTTTAAAACACATGATTTCAGCACGATAAACATGATAATCAGAACCAAAACAGATGTTTTTAGCAGGTCCGAGCTGTAATGGTGCAGCTCTATTCTGGAAAAGGGGGCAGGGAGCAGCAGCTCATTTGCATTTAAAGACACAGGTCCGAAAAATAGCGTGTTTCTGCTTCCACTCAAAATAGGCATTTTCAAAATGATATAATAAATGATCTGTGGAGTATTTTGAACTGAAACTTCACAGACACATTCTGGGGACACCAGAGACTTGTATTCCATATTGTAAAAAGGGGCATAATATGTCTCCTTTAAGTTTACGGACCTGTTGCTATGACAGCAACTCCGGGATGAGCTTCGAAGAACCAAATAATCCAAGATCATGTCAAATCATCAACAATCAAATCCAGCTACCCGAGTTAGCGACGTACGATGAACGGGCCCCTGATCATGGTCTATGTGATCTTTTGATACAACGACCCGTTACAGTACTATTGCAAAGTATTCAAACAAGACACACAATGTCAATGCAAATGGAGAACATAATTTATCAGCATCACCAAGAATGAGAGACCTGGTAGGTGGCGTTGAATCCGTGTCCAGGGCTGTGTGGTTTGGCGTGGTAGAAGATGCTCATCTGTCCCTGGGACGACTCCAGCAGGGCTCGTCTGTGGTTATTATGGTGAGAGAGACTCTCTAGAAGGCGTTCTGCACGTTCTCCCAATCCATTGTAAACACGGACAGAGTCTCCCACACCCAGCTGTAGATCCACCTGCAGCACCAACGGCTTTGGGTCCTGAAACAAAAACAGTTAAGCAGTATGCTGTATGTGATTTAATGCAACCTAAAATAAGAATATATGAGGTTCTTATCGTACTTGTGTGTCTAGGAACCATGTGCAGTGAAGATCTGTGCCAGCGCTCCTATTTGGACGGAAAAAATCAGGTGAGGCAAACGTCCCATAGAAGTTGACTAAGCGTTTTCCACAGGACGTGTCGGGACAGTGGGCCTCGTCGGATCCGTCAGGACAGTCCCGGGCTCCATTACAGCGCAGAGACACCGGCAGACAGCGGGTAGATTGGATATCAGAGCACTGCAAGGTACCAGGCGGACACAGACTGACCCGGGCAGGTGTTGGTTGGGCAGCACAGCTCCTTTCGTCTGTATTGTCTCCACACTCATCCAATCCGTTACAGCGCCAGGAACGTGGAATGCACTTACCATTTCCACATAAATATTCATCGTTCTCACAACTACTCTGACCCAGTCGACCTAATGATTAAAAAACAGACAGAGACAAAGAGAGTCTTTTGCACACGTAAACACTGACAGTTTGCTGAAATAAGCCAATCAAATCTACCCACTCTGCAGATGGTGTTTGCCTGGTGACAGCTTAACAAACACAGCCGTTCAGTATTATTGATTGAACTGCACCTCTGAGGAAAATGCACAAACACAGCATTTCACTCCTCACACGTACACATGCCCCGTGGAGTTGAATAACGACAGCCAATTATCTCCTTCATCTTCATTAGCTACATATTAGATCTAACTAAATAATCAACAGCTGAGATCTGTCTAATACACACTGACAGTAGTGCAATCCAAATATGCACAGATCATTATGTAACAAGTGCTGCAAAGCATTAGCGTTTCATCACGGCTCTATGGCCATATACTATTGATAGCCTGCATTCGCCTGGTCAATCTGTGCTTACAGTAAATCTATATGCCACGGCAACAGCCTTTGTGATTTAGTGGCTCTAATGTAGGAAAACAACTAAATCAGATGAAAAATTACAACTCAAAAGGAAATGCATAAAGTATGATTAAAAAAAATATATATATGCCCAATCAATTGATATTAAATCCTAGAACACATAATATGGCATCACCACTGTACTTATTTGGGGTCTTGTTCACCTAAAAATGTAAAAAAAAAAAAAATGTATAGAATTATACAATACTTGTCACGGGTTTGCTACTGTGAGGAGCATGGAACGAGGAAACCAGGAGTACAAACCAAGGAGTTTATTTAAGTCGCGGGGAATCACACGTAGAACAAAGGAATTAACATTCACAAACAATACCGGACAACACTAACTAAAAGGACTCAGACTTTTAAACACAAGACGAGGCACTAAGGAGACACACCAGGGATCACTGGAAATTACACATGGGAAACACCTGGGATGAAATTAACAGAATACGCGGGAGACAGAAACTGTGTCACAGAAAAACACACACAAAACACAGGATAGAGTCTGACATAACACCTCCCTCCGCAAGGCGTGTCCTCACGCCATATAACATCCAACGGGGAGGGGGGGTGGGCGCTCTGGAGGTCCCTCAGGACAGACATGGGACAGTGGGCCTCCAGAGCAGTAACCCTTCGGGGCGCCATGGCGGAGCAGGGGACTTGGGAGGCCATGGTGGTGCAGGGGACTCGGGAGGCCAAGGTGGAGCAGCCTTACTACGGCTGGGGGCCTACTACCCCTGCAAAGTATTCAAACAAGACACACAATGTCAATGCAAATGGAGAACATAATTTATCAGCATCACCAAGAATGAGAGACCTGGTAGGTGGCGTTGAATCCGTGTCCAGGGCTGTGTGGTTTGGCGTGGTAGAAGATGCTCATCTGTCCCTGGGACGACTCCAGCAGGGCTCGTCTGTGGTTATTATGGTGAGAGAGACTCTCTAGAAGGCGTTCTGCCCGTTCTCCCAATCCATTGTAAACACGGACAGAGTCTCCCACACCCAGCTGTAGATCCACCTGCAGCACCAACGGCTTTGGGTCCTGAAACAAAAACAGTTAAGCAGTATGCTGTATGTGATTTAATGCAACCTAAAATAAGAATATATGAGGTTCTTATCGTACTTGTGTGTCTAGGAACCATGTGCAGTGAAGATCTGTGCCAGCGCTCCTATTTGGACGGAAAAAATCAGGTGAGGCAAACGTCCCATAGAAGTTGACTAAGCGTTTTCCACAGGACGTGTCGGGACAGTGGGCCTCGTCGGATCCGTCAGGACAGTCCCGGGCTCCATTACAGCGCAGAGACACCGGCAGACAGCGGGTAGATTGGATATCAGAGCACTGCAAGGTACCAGGCGGACACAGACTGACCCGGGCAGGTGTTGGTTGGGCAGCACAGCTCCTTTCGTCTGTATTGTCTCCACACTCATCCAATCCGTTACAGCGCCAGGAACGTGGAATGCACTTACCATTTCCACATAAATATTCATCGTTCTCACAACTACTCTGACCCAGTCGACCTAATGATTAAAAAACAGACAGAGACAAAGAGAGTCTTTTGCACACGTAAACACTGACAGTTTGCTGAAATAAGCCAATCAAATCTACCCACTCTGCAGATGGTGTTTGCCTGGTGACAGCTTAACAAACACAGCCGTTCAGTATTATTGATTGAACTGCACCTCTGAGGAAAATGCACAAACACAGCATTTCACTCCTCACACGTACACATGCCCCGTGGAGTTGAATAACGACAGCCAATTATCTCCTTCATCTTCATTAGCTACATATTAGATCTAACTAAATAATCAACAGCTGAGATCTGTCTAATACACACTGACAGTAGTGCAATCCAAATATGCACAGATCATTATGTAACAAGTGCTGCAAAGCATTAGCGTTTCATCACGGCTCTATGGCCATATACTATTGATAGCCTGCATTCGCCTGGTCAATCTGTGCTTACAGTAAATCTATATGCCACGGCAACAGCCTTTGTGATTTAGTGGCTCTAATGTAGGAAAACAACTAAATCAGATGAAAAATTACAACTCAAAAGGAAATGCATAAAGTATGATTAAAAAATATATATATATGCCCAATCAATTGATATTAAATCCTAGAACACATAATATGGCATCACCACTGTACTTATTTGGGGTCTTGTTCACCTAAAAATGTAAAAAAAAAAAAAAATGTATAGAATTATACAATACTTGTCACGGGTTTGCTACTGTGAGGAGCATGGAACGAGGAAACCAGGAGTACAAACCAAGGAGTTTATTTAAGTCGCGGGGAATCACACGTAGAACAAAGGAATTAACATTCACAAACAATACCGGACAACACTAACTAAAAGGACTCAGACTTTTAAACACAAGACGAGGCACTAAGGAGACACACCAGGGATCACTGGAAATTACACATGGGAAACACCTGGGATGAAATTAACAGAATACGCGGGAGACAGAAACTGTGTCACAGAAAAACACACACAAAACACAGGATAGAGTCTGACATAACACCTCCCTCCGCAAGGCGTGTCCTCACGCCATATAACATCCAACGGGGAGGGGGGGTGGGCGCTCTGGAGGTCCCTCAGGACAGACATGGGACAGTGGGCCTCCAGAGCAGTAACCCTTCGGGGCGCCATGGCGGAGCAGGGGACTTGGGAGGCCATGGTGGTGCAGGGGACTCGGGAGGCCAAGGTGGAGCAGCCTTACTACGGCTGGAGTCCTACTACCCCCCCCCCCCAAAAAAAAAACTTGGGGAAATTTACGGGACTGTACTTGGGGCCAGGAGCCCTCACTGGGCTATACTCGGGAACAGGAGCCCTTCCTGGGCTGAACTGGGGATCAGGAGCCCCTCCTGGGCTGAACTCGGGAACAGGAGCCCCTCCTGGGCTGAACTGGGGATCAGGGTAGCGCTTGCGTGGTGCTGGCACTGGAGTGAGTTTTGGGGCTGGAGCCGACACTGGAGCGAGCTCTGGGGCTGGAGCCGACACTGGAGCGAGCTCTGGAAGGCGCTTACGAGGAGTGGGCACTGGGGCTGGAACCGACACTGGGCCCACATGAACACATAGTGGGCTTGCCACATTAACGTCCTTGGGGCTTGCCACCTTAACTGCCGGCTGACTTGACTCGGGAACGGCTGGCTGACTTGGGGGAGCCGCGGACGGCGGCGGGCTGGTTCTGGCTCTGGGCAGGACGCTCTCCAGACACTGGAGGATTCTTTCCCTCCAGCTCAGTCCAGTGGTGTCTGGGAGGTCCACGGGGTGATGGTAGTTGGCCCCGAGCCAGAACAGCTGATTAAGGACGGCATCCTCTAACACCGTCACCGCAGCAAGCTTGCAGAACTCCCTGGCGTAACATTACTCGTAGAAGGGGATATCGAGGCGAGCTAGGGCGAGGGAAACAAACCAAGGGAAACAAAAACTTCGCACAAAGGTGGAACAAACAAACGCGAAGAAAAGTTATTTCTTTTGTTTTGTTTTTTTGGGTCCGGTATTCTGTCACGGGTTTGCTACTGTGAGGAGCATGGAACGAGGAAACCAGGAGTACAAACCAAGATGTTTATTTAAGTCGCGGGGAATCAAACGTAGCACAAGGAATTGACATTCACAAACAATACGGACAACACTAACTAAAAGGACTCAGACTTTTAAACACAGGATGACGAGGGACTAAGGAGACACACCTGGGATCACTGGAAATTACACATGGGAAACGCCCGGGATGAAATTAACAGAATACGCGGGAGACAGAAACTGGGTCACAGAAAAACACACACAAAACACGGGACACGGGAGTCTGACAATACTGTTCAAAAGTTTGGAGTCAGTATGATTTTTTTTTTATTGAAAAAATGTACTTTTATTCAGAAAGGATGTAATAAAACAGTAAAGATTTCCAAAAAAAGAGTTCCTCAAAAATAATTAAGAAGCATAACTGTTTTCAACATTTAAAATAAAATAAATAAATGGTTCATTCATCAGAATGCAGAGATATGACTTTCACCCCATACTGTGTGACCCAATAACGCTGCAGAATCTATTTTAATTTATATGATAAAATATACATTATTAAACTGCACTTTCACAGTATAGTTACAGCCATAAAAATACAGACATTCAAATCTCCTCTGACTGTCATTTAAATGGACATGCACATACACAATATGCAAAGCTTCTGAATATTTCAGACAGGTCTCAACAATAAGGATGACCTGATGGCCTGGGGCCAGTGCCAGACAGTTTTTGGCCAGTTGGCATAACTGCCTCTTTACCTATCAGGCCAGTGCTGCATTAGAAAATTCAGCTTTGCCATCACAGGAATAAATTATATTTACATAAAATAGTTATTCATGATATTTTACAATATTACTGTTTTTACTGCTATTTTGATCAAATAAATGCAACCTTTGTGAGCACTTAGCTCAAAAATATTTTAAAAATCTCAGTGACCGCTATCTCAGTGAATCTTAGTAACTTCTGAACACTAGTCTATGCTATGCTAAGTCTATAACTTGTTGCATGACAATTAGCCACTGTTTAGATTTTTTGATGTATTAAACATTGTTGTGAATTTGGCAAATTTAAATCAAGGTAACACTGGCTTGCTGGAAGACAAACAGCAAGCTTTTATTTGAAATTGAACTCCTAGTAAATTATAGCTTACTTTAAAAAACAACAAAAAGCATTAATTACCTTTAAAAACTACAAATGTTAATATTGTTCTTTATAACACATAAAATAAAAAAAATGTTTGCAATGTGAATAGAGAAAATATCAGCAGGAAAATAAACGGGACCCACAAAAGAAATCTCATCCCAGTACTAGATGAGCGGGTCAGATTCCCATACGTCAGTCTGTCTGAGGCAATTTGAGAAAAGGATTTATCAAGTGTTGCATAAATGCCTCTACTCCAGCTTTTAAACAATGAGTAATTAGACAGTATGGATTAAAAGAAATTAAAATTCTATTTATCAGAACTATTATCCTTTTCCACTTCAAGGTTCAAATCTCAAGAGGAGATGATGTCATGCTTTTAGATAATATCATTAAAGCGGTGACGAAGCCCACACACACACACACACACACACACACACACACACAACAGTGGCAGGAGAGGCAAGAAATAGTACATTATAAAATCCCTGCAGTCAGCTCTAGTCATACAGCAGTCTAAGCACTTTCATATGGAAGAATGCGCAAACTAACATGCACTTGCAAACAGGCTCATAAACACTGAAATGCAAAAAACAATAAATAAATAAATAAATGGTTCATTCATCAGAATGCAGAGATATGACTTTCACCCCATACTGTGTGACCCAATAACGCTGCAGAATCTATTTTAATTTATATGATAAAATATACATTATTAAACTGCACTTTCACAGTATAGTTACAGCCATAAAAATACAGACATTCAAATCTCCTCTGACTGTCGTTTAAATGGACATGCACATACACAATATGCAAAGCTTCTGAATATTTCAGACAGGTCTCAACAATAAGGATGACCTGATGGCCTGGGGCCAGTGCCAGACAGTTTTTGGCCAGTTGGCATAACTGCCTCTTTACCTATCAGGCCAGTGCTGCATTGCAACAATGGCTTATATTCAGTGATCTTACACAAGTGTTTTTATGCACTGTTTAGATTTTTTGATGTATTAAACATTGTTGTGAATTTGGCAAATTTAAATCAAGGTAACACTGGCTTGCTGGAAGACAAACAGCAAGCTTTTATTTGAAATTGAACTCCTAGTAAATTATAGCTTACTTTAAAAAACAACAAAAAACATTAATTACCTTTAAAAACTACAAATGTTAATATTGTTCTTTATAACACATAAAATAAAAAAAATGTTTGCAATGTGAATAGAGAAAATATCAACAGGAAAATAAACGGGACCCACAAAAGAAATCTCATCCCAGTACTAGATGAGCGGGTCAGATTCCCATACGTCAGTCTGTCTGAGGCAATTTGAGAAAAGGATTTATCAAGTGTTGCATAAATGCCTCTACTCCAGCTTTTAAACAATGAGTAATTAGACAGTATGGATTAAAATAAATTAAAATTCTATTTATCAGAACTATTATCCTTTTCCACTTCAAGGTTCAAATCTCAAGAGGAGATGATGTCATGCTTTTAGATAATATCATTAAAGCGGTGACGAAGCCCACACACACACACACACACACACACACACACACAACAGTGGCAGGAGAGGCAAGAAATAGTACATTATAAAATCCCTGCAGTCAGCTCTAGTCATACAGCAGTCTAAGCACTTTCATATGGAAGAATGCGCAAACTAACATGCACTTGCAAACAGGCTCATAAACACTGAAATGCAAAAAACAATTAATTAGTTTGAAAAACCCTTACATTGTTTTTTTTGTTTGGATATACCATACAGTCATAAAATTGACCATGGGGTTTCTAACAGTGTGAAAGCTGCTGTGACTAATTGATGTTCATGAAAAGCAGAATTTCTTGCACAAGAACGGGACAGACCCCATGAACAGGACAGATGCTGGTGGGACATTTTGTTATGTATCATTGTAATAGAAATAAATAAGTCACCACTCATTTAATCACCACTGTGAGAGACTGCTTGTGTGCGTCTACCTGATTGTGATCACATCTCCGCGGCTTCCCTGTATATTCCAGCTGCAGTTCACTCCGGGCGGATAGTTGAGGGGCCATGATGGGCTGTAGATCACTCCTCTCCTCTCGGTGTGTAACTCCACTTTCCCACCACAGGCAGCTGAGGAACACACACAGAAGACATGTGCATTGTTTGTGTGTGAGTGACTCATGAGTGACCACAGCTACTAACACACTGTGATTGAGATGACATCAACGCATCACACCAGGCTTTATGGATTCCTGAGGTATATATGATGGCAAGAATTTGATCCACTCACTCAAGAAGGATCAGAGAGTGCCTGTGGAATTGCACTGACACATAATACTCAATTTAGTGGGGACGTGTGTGAGAGTGTGTGCTAATGATTACGAATCTCAACAGAAATACAATAAGACAAGGAAGAAATATCATGGGAAGCAACAGAAATAGTCCAGGAAGGAAGAGAAAGTCCAAGTAAGCATATAAACTATTAACTGATTTCTTTAGCATTTTTTTCTCCTTTCATTTATGCTAAAGTCTCTTGAAAGACAAAAAAGAACTGTGTCTATTTATGGACCTTTAGAGACATGAATTTCCCAGACTTTTCCAATCATTTGTTATTTCTGGATTTTTAGATAATAATAAAAATAAATAAAAATCATCTTTGAATTATCTGGTCATTTGTGATAACTGGATTTAAAAATATTTAATACAATATATATAAATATCAAAATATAATCTATCATTATTAATAATAATAGACCTTGACTTTTCCGGTCATTAGTGATTACAGGGTTTTATATAATAATATATATTAAAATGTGACCCTGGACCACAAAACCAGTCATATAAGGGTCAATTTTTCGAAATTGAGATTTGTACATCTGAAAGCTGAATAAATAAGCTTTCCATTGATGCATGGTTTGTTAGGATAGGACAATATTTGGCCGAGATACAACTATTTGAAAATCTGGAATCTGAGGGTGCAAAAAAAAAATCTAAATATTGAGAAAATCACCTTTAAAGTTGTCCAAATGAAGTTCTTAGCCATGCATATTACTAATCAAAAATTAAGTTTTTATATATTTACTGTAGGAAATTTACAAAATATCTTCATGGAACATGATCTTTACTTAATATCCTAATAATTTTTGGCATAAAATAAAAATCAATAATTTTGACCCAAACAAATGTATTTTTGGCTATTGCTACAAATATACCCCAGCGACTTAAGACTGCGTTTGTGCTCCAGGGTCACATATATATAATACATTTAAAACTGAACAACAAGACAAATATTATCTTTAATAGTACCATGACCTTTTAAGAACTAGAAATTACAAATTTACAAATTACAATGATAAAATTCCCTGATATTTCTATGCTTTGCATGACATGAGACCCCTGAATACAGATGGCAGCACATGTTGTGATGTAACACTCTCCTCAGCTCCATCCTTGACACTTACTTATTACCCTCCAGGATGAACACACATCTCTCACACACCCAGTGACTGCTTTTACTCTATATATAACATGATGATGTCTAGCAGCTGAAAGGAAGAAGCTAATAATACCCTGTTCTCTGTGTGAGAGAACAGGACAGAGATCAGGGGAATCCTGAGCATATGAGCACAAATCAATTTAGGATATTGATATATTGAGTCTCAAGGCTCACTGATATCTTTTTACTTCCCCGGATACATACAGCACAAATTATCATCTTAATCAGGGTAGGCAACACACTGAACTTTACACCGATGAAAATAAGGCAGTGAGGCTTAAATAACCTGAACTCAAAGCAGTCTTCCCCATATTATTTCCGTGTCTGCTTTGTTTCATTCCCTGAATGAAATCCTACCAAATCACCTATAAACACGAATGAGAACATTCTGGATCGGTTGTTTTTCATTTCAGAACTACTGCAAACTATTACAGTTGAATTTAACATCATCATTGTCTTCATTAATCAGATGGAACATCCTCTAAAGGGAAACACTGTATAAATATCAGTGATGCACACTCATATTTAGTGGGGGAAACATGTCTGGACATGGAATATCCATAGTCAATGGGAAAGGCTTGCATTTGGGTGTGTGAGAGTGATAAAGAAACAGAGAAGAAGGTCCCTTTGTCTGTCTGTGTGTGTGTGTGTGTGTGTGTGTGTGAGAGAGAGAGAGAGAGAGAGAAGAAGAGCTCTAGGTGTCATTGGTACTATCAACATGCCCCCACCCCCAACCAAACCCTCTTTTGTCACCACCCCTGGACTAGATACCACCTCCAATACACCACAGCCATTTGTTCGCTTTCTGTGCTTCTGTCTCTGGTATGAGAGCATCTGCTTGAGTAAAAACAGGTGTCTCGTTCTCACTCTCTTTTATCTGCGGTTGTTTGTTGAGCATTTAGCTGACCTCAACAGATCATGTGTTCCTCAAACAAGCCTAGAGTGCTATCTAGGAATAGATTATGGGTGAGATCAGATGCCCAGTGCTTGGCAGACCGTGAAAGCATTGCTGTCTAGTTGTGAACATAGATTTTAAGCTCAAAACCAATGCTCAGAGTGCCGAGGAGGTCGAAAAGTAGCTATATGACACATGATCAGATCTTAATATAGTAGCATTTTATGTTTTGGACTGGTTTAAGCAAGCCTGGAAGATGCTGGTGCTCAGTAGGTTCAGGTGCGAGTCTGACCTACTGAAAATTGTCCCAAACATTTCTAAAACCAACTAATAGACCAGCCTGGGAAACCAGCGAACCATCATTTGAGCAAAATTGGGAAGTGGTAATGTTTACATTTTAATTACGAGAAGGTGTGCACGTGAACAACTCCATTTGCGGTTGTTTTTTTTAATCCACGAAGGCTGCACAATAATGCACTTTTTTTTTTTTTAAAAACACACAATTAGCCAGTCGGTCTTGGAGGAGATCAGGCTGATACCGCCGTGTTTATAAGTGCCATGGCAACAAGCCAAACTCGGATCTGTGCTCCTCGGTTCTCCCGGTATGAATGCTGCAAAGCCTGCGTGCGCCGCTTAACCTTTCTTTGTCATCGCTGCCGTTCGCATACTTCAACCTGAAATATTTAATATTATTCCGACACGTGGGCTGCAAAAGGTCAAATGCAATAAAAAGTGAGATAGAGCTTGACTGCTCAAATAGAAATCAACAGTGCACCTTTTGTTCTATTAAATACATGTCAATTATAATATCACAATCCTTAAGAAGTCTACTCACCCACACAAACCCAAGCCCAGCGTAGACAAATCCATTTCACAAAGTAAAGCCGAGTCTCCCCGATCCTCTCCATCATCACTGTCATCTTCTCGTTCACAGCTCAGCTCGTTTCCTCCGAATCCACAGAGTTTGCAGCGCATCTCGTGTCGGTTTCACGCTTGCGCTCGGTTTAGCGTCTTGCTCGAGCAATAGCATCAAAAGCAGCGTCTCTCCCTCTTTCCGAGAGGCTCAGACAGAGAGCCCTTCAGAGGAGAGACGGGGTTGGAGGTTCAGTGGGGACAGCAGCACAGGACACAATGATTCTTCATCGATGGAGTGCTCTTCTTGTGGCGATCACTAAGCCTTTTATGTTTACTTATTAATCATTACATATTTTTCTTTTCTTTTTGCAATATATCTTTACGAGTAATAATATCGTTCCACTGCGTCCATATAGTTCCACTGTGTGCCAATTGTGTAATAAGATGTATGGTGAAGTAATAGCGGCCATGCAGCTCAGTGGACTTCATCTGTCCATCGAAGACCACTGGAGCGCCTCTCATGCAAAATAACGCTGAGATCATTATTCAAAACACCAAGATAACATGATGCTGATGTAAACGCCGATGTTTAACTTAAATGTAACATCTTAATACAAAAGACTGGATGCATTCGTGTAAGATCTTATGATGGCTTCATGTAAACAGTGTTTTTTTTTCATAGATTTTGCCTTGGTTTGTTTTCATGGTTTGTCTGGAGGAGACTCACCAGCTGGCAGTGAAAGCCTGCACTCTTGAGGACGGAGGGATGCATCGCTGGAAATCATGGCGTGTGCACCATTTTATTATTTACCATGCTTAGCAATACAATATCGTGTTAAGAGTCATTTGAAAGATTTGTGGACACGACTGGTTTCTAAATTCGAAAGTTGTTGCTCAGTTTCTACAACGTACATGACTAGAATGTCTGCGATACGTTTCCAGTCGCATTAATCCGTTTTGAATGCAATGTTTTATTATTTTGCTATTTTATCTGGTGTTATGTAAGTTACCTAAAAGTATTGTTGTGCGTGCATGGTACAAAAGGCACCGCTGGGATTCGAACCCAGGATCTCCTGTTTACTAGACAGGCGCTTTAACCAACTAAGCCACGGCGCCGCTGCGTGATTGGTTGGCGCTTAATGTATATATACACCTGTATGCATCAAGGCTATTCATTCAAAACGAAGTACAGTATATTTGTGAAGTACGAAAGGACTCATAAATCTGTTATTGAAATGAACACAGCGCGCCGAAACAGCATAGTATTGACACCATTTTGGTCATTTAAGTTGTATAGGTTTCGCTTAATTTTTTCCACTTTATTCGATCTGGTGTAACAGATAAGTTACACTTCACAAATGTGATGAACGTGATTGACAGGTTTTTTTCTTTTGTCAACTATATATCCCTTTAAGACACAAATCAAATCATGACCAGATCTCGACATATTTCAAATAATTTTACATACCTCAACAAAAGTGCAAAATACATATATTTTAATTTTGTACTGTGTTGGATTTTATCACAAACTTAGTTACACATGGTGTATAGCATATATATTCTATTGGTATTTTTTCTCTATATTTTTATTGCCACATAGCTATTATTATTATTCATATTATTTTGAATGTATTGTTTTCTCTTCATCATTTGTGTTATGTTACATTTTATTATATGTATGTCTGCACTATGTCTGTACTTTTCATAGATTTTGCCTTGGTTTGTTTTCATGGTTTGTCTGGAGGAGACTCACCAGCTGGCAGTGAAAGCCTGCACTCTTGAGGACGGAGGGATGCATCGCTGGAAATCATGGCGTGTGCAAATTAGTATTCATCTTGAAGTTTTTGTAAGACAAAATCTTCACTCTTGGTTCTTCAGACACATTCTATCTCTTGTTCCTGACGTTTTTTAACCTAAGCCAGAGAGAGAGAGAGAAAGAGAAATATTTCAAGCTTTTAAATTACTAATATGTATACCAAGATAACCTTACCATTTACAAGATGCTTTATGATTAAAAATATGAGCTCTGACCTCTGGAGCAGTTCACTAGTAGACACAACTCTATTTTCATCTTCACTGTTGGAGTCGGTGTCGTCTGAGCTGCTATTAGACTCATCTACCCTCTTCTTCTGTTTCCCTTTATGCTTATGTTTCTTGTTCTTTTTCTTCTGAAAAAAAAAATACACCTGTATGCATCGAGGCTATTCATTCAAAACGAAGTACAGTATATTTGTGAAGTACGAAAGGACTCATAAATCTGTTATTGAAATGAACACAGCGCGCCGAAACAGCATAGTATTGACACCATTTTGGTCATTTGTTTAAGTTGTATAGGTTTCGCTTAATTTTTTCCACATTTTTGCACATCGAAATGCGCGCTATTCGATCTGGTGTAACAGATAAGTTACACTTCACAAATGTGATGAACGTGATTGACAGGATTTTTCTTTTGTCAACTATATATCCCTTTAAGACACAAATCAGATCATGACCAGATCTCGAGATATTTCAAATAATTTTACATACCTCAACAAAAGTGCAAAATACATATATTTTAATTTTGTACTGTGTTGGATTTTATCACAAACTTAGTTACACATGGTGTATAGCATATATATTCTATTGGTATTTTTTCTCTATATTTTTATTGCCACATAGAAAGAAGTCTGGCAGTCAGACTGGGGTAATCTGCTCCAGAAGAACCCACCTTTTTCTCTTTTTTGTGTTTCTTGGCTTTGTGTTTCTCTTTATCTTTCTTCTTTTGTTTCTTCAGCTGCGGCGAGTGTGCAGATGGGATAAACCCTGGTAAAGAGACACACAATGTAAAACGTCATGTTAATATAAAAGACAGACTAGTGAAAAGTCCTGGATGAAAGAGAAAAAAGTAATAACTAATATTACTGAACCTGTATATTCAGAAGTCTCAGATATTAAAGAAACATAGTTTGCAAGTCTAGTAGCTTTTAAAGTTGGGGTGTGCAACACCCCCGAATGCAGGATATGCATTAAGTACAGCAAGTTATTTTTGTAAAGTTATGGTTACAAACTCTCTTTCCACCTACCTACACTCTTTCTGAGTGATACATCAGCCAAAAAGAGAGAAAAACCCCCACAAAAGATCAATTTGACTGATTGCAATATTTCTATAGATATCACAATAATAGTATTATCATGAATTATTTCACTCTTGATAATCATGTAGTGAAAATCAGCCTTAATCTGAATTCAATTGCAATTACAAATCTATCATTCCAATGATTTTTAAACAATCTCAACACATACGCAGGGACATCATTCAATTTAGAATCAATTTTAAAGTTCTCTTACTGGTGTATAAACCTTTACATAACCAAGCCCCTAGTTATCTCTCAGAGCTGTTGCATTTTTATACTCATGTCTTGTGTGATTAAAGGCTGGAATACACTACACGACTTTTAAAATCTGAACAGGTTTTTAAAACACTAGGCATCATACACTCACCGACTTTGTAAATAGTGACAGAGGCAAACTGTCCATCATACACTAAACGACTGAGGATCATTACCAGACTTTAAAGTTGTTCCGATCACAATAAACTCATACAGAAACATGCGCACTGTTGCTAGGAGACTACTGACAAATGAAAACAATGTGTTCTAAAATCGGCAAAAAAAAAAAAATCAAACGTGTTTGATCTCCTCAGACTGGATGGAATTATAGACTGAAGCTAAAAAAAAAAAAAAGCTTCATCATACACTACGTGATTTAGATTTTTCAGACTGGCTTTGACTTTCAGCAAAGTAGCGTCAACTACTTCAGACTGTAAATCGGTGGAAATTTGGAGCAAAAATCATGTAGTGTATTGCAGGTTTTAGTTGAAATCAATTCCATCATTTTAGGATATCTAGTAACATTCATGCTTTAGATATTTATTTACTCCAATGCAAGTTACTATTATTGCTTTAACACGTGTTCACATGATAAATTGAGGGGGATGGTGACTGCAGTGGTTACAGTGACTGACCAGGAGGTGGCAGTCTGGGGCCAAACTCCTCTTCATCCAGGCCTTGTGATTTATCAGGAGCACTATGGGAGGAGGACTGGGTATTTTGTGCTGTAGTTGTTTCAGCAGATGGCTTGCTCTGGACTGTAAGATGCTTTAAATCTGAGGGGAAGAGAAAACAGTCAATAAACGATTATGACAATTTGACATCTGAATCAATGAAAGAGATTTTTGTGGAGCTGCTCATCTTCAGATTATACCTGGCACTTTGCTGACGTCAGGAGCAGGAGTGATCTGAGCTGAGATGGGTGGGTTGGGTGTCTCTGAAGAGGGGCCACCTCTTCTTCTTCACTATCCTCTTCAGATGAAGATGAGCTCTTCTCATCTGAAGAGCTGGCAAAGATGGCTTTAAAGAGATCCATAGGAGGCCTCACTTCTTCTTCGTCCTCTTCCTTCTCCTCCTCCTCATCAGTCTTTGGCTCAGTCTGCTTCCCATCGGACTGTGCCACTTTTATCTGCATAAAAGCATGATTGTTACATTGAGATTACGTTGTATACAGTACTAAATTAAAAATACTTTAGCGTTAAATGTATTTCTGTAAAAGAGAAACTTTCTAAATGTATTCTTTAGGAGGCTTTTTAACAATTAGAGTTAAATGAATACAGTCAAGTATCCACTGGTACCTCTGGAGTGGCAGAAGCATGTGAAGAGTCGGTCTGGTTCTTGGCCCCAGCTTCGGTTTGCTTGGCCGCTGAAACTTCACTGCGCGTTTCACTGAGGAACGCACTAAGTGGGTCTTTTGGTTCAGATACCTGCTCTGCTATGTCCCACCTGGATTTCTTATTGACTTCTGGAGTCAAATGGGGAAGGGTTGTGCTGGAGCTGGGAGGTTTGGAAGCACTCGGGGCCTCCCTACTGACCTGGCTGCTATCCGTTATTGTCAGGAAGTTAAAGACCGAGTACTTATCTCTCTTTATTTTAGGCATTCCCACAGTACTGGACCTGCACAAGCCAGACAGGATAAATGGAAAGAGTGGAGAAAAATAAATAAATTATCTTCCAATTTGAAATAAATTTTTAGAACAACAAAAATCCAGTTACATTTTTAATTGACAGGTGGCACACAAAATATTAGCAAAAATGTAAAAAAATATATATATATTTTAATTTTTACAGTGACAGTGCATCACAAATGTCAATAAAAAAAATGCAATACCAAATGATAGTTCTATTTTTATTTAGTTTTACTACAATATTGTTAGCATGAAAAGAAAAATAAATATCTAAGCAATAAAAGTGACTGAATATCAATTTAAATGTAATCATTTTAATCAAATTTTTTATTTATTTAAAAGTTGGTGGAAAGTACAAAAAATTAACTAAAACAACACACATTGCATTAACAGTACTTGTATTTTCTTTGAGGCTGAAAGCGATCATAATTGTATTGTGTACTCCTTCCAATTAGTGCAAATCACCAATGTTGTTTTGTTTTGTCCTGCTTTGTCCTTAATATACTCAAATAGTAAAGGAATATCTTCAGATACAGCATATGATAAAAATCTGTCTTACCCTGGATAAGGGTCTGGAACGTTGAACCTTTTACACAATAGTTTATCAGGGTGCCACTCAAAAGTGTCTCTGGTCAGCTTTCCAAATATCTTCATCTTCACAGCGGCCTGCTGGTCATCCACATCATTCTAAAAAAAGAGAGTGGATATTAAAGTACAAATATAATAAATGGTGAACTATTTTTGAACCATAAGCACCTTTTTAGTTCCAGTTTAACTAAACAAATTTCATGAACTTATTGCTAAGTACACTTAAGCGCTTGAACTGAAGGTAACTCTGTACCTCTTGATCCTGTGTGACCTCAACACTGTCTGTATCATCCTCATGTTTGCCACGTGTGAAACGTGAGGAGAGAGAAGAGTTGCTGGGCTTATAGAGTAATGCAGCACGCACAAATTCCTCCCTTTCTCTCCATCTCTCCCACTCAGTCATGGAAGAGTCCAGACTCGACTCCAGGGCATCTACAATCAGATTTGTAGAAATCAAATTAGCAAAGTCTAGGATAAATCACACCAAACATAACTGATCCAATTCACCTTTATCGCCCTTTCTGAGTTTGTTGATGTACAGATCATAGCGAGCCTGTTTCTGGGGATTTTTTGCAAAAGGTTTAAAGGTTTTGCTAGCATCTGCAGTGGGACCGGACCAAGCATTCAAAGCCATCTGCGTTTCAGAGGAAGCCTGAGTTTTGGCTGGAGAGGTTAGAGAATTGGGCTGTGGGGCGTTTGACTGGAAACGGCTGGACAGGGCCTGTAGAACAGCAGCTTTAGCTGAAGCCACCACAGCAGCTCGATCTTCAGCTGAGGAAAGGTTTCCTACAGATTTATTCCGCTCCTTGGCTACACTGCGGATCTCGTTCAGCCGCTCTCTGTCCTTACTGCCAAGCAGCTCAAACACAGAGCTTGGGCCTACAAAACATAAACACATTTTAAACTAAGTTTGGGTTAAAAATTGGCCATAATATATTATTGGGTTAAAAACAGAGTGTATTCATTAAGATTCTCTCACATTCACATTCAAAACAAATGGTAAATAACAAACAGACCCTGATTTTGTACTACATATTTTAGATATAGATTATATTTTAATCCACAGAAGGGGTTGTGTGGCTCTGTCATAATATACCAGTATTGACAATAACCGTGATATTTGAAAAATTAAATCTTAAAGAGTTAGTTCACTCAAAAATGAAAATTAGGCTGTGTTTTACTCACCCCCGAGGCATCCTAGGTGTTTATGACTTGCTTCTTTCAGACGAATCCAGTCGGAGTTATATTAAAAATTGTCTTTGATCTTTCAAGCGGTTTAATGCCGCTCAGCGGGTGTTGCATTGCTTCAGTCCAAAAGAACTTAAATAAAAATCGCCCATCCATAAAAAACATGCATCACACGGCTCCGGGGGGTGAACAAAGGCCTTCTGTAGCGAATCGATGCGTTTTTGTAAGAAAAATATCCATATTTAAAACTTAATAATCACTTGAATCTAGCTTGCGCTCACTGTTGTACACGGAAGCAGTTCCCGGGAGCATGACGTATGAGGTCAGCGTTGCGCATGCGCCGGTGAGTCTCGTGAAAACCAACATTTGTTAATAGGAGCAAAGGAAGCAAAGTTTCCTTACTTTAGTAAAGGAAAACCATTCTCCTCTTGGCTTATATCGAAATCCTCTGACATTCTTCTTTACAAATCCTCGTTTTGTATTTCTAATTCTTGATCATTGTTTTGTTTTGATCTCTCCCCTGCGTTTCTGCGTGTGTCACTTCTGAGCGGCGCATGCGCAAATTCGACCTCATACGTCATGCTCCCGGAACTGCTTCTGTGTACAACAGTGAGCGCAAGCTAGATTCTAGTGATTATTACGTTTTGAATATGGATATTTTTCTTACAAAAACGCATCGGCCGGAGCCGTGTGAGACATTTTTTTAATGGATGGGTGATTTTTATTTAAGTTCTTTTGGACTTAAGCAATGCAACACCCGCTGAGTGGCATTAAACAGATTGAAAGATCAAAGACAATTTTAATATAACTCCGACTGGATTCGTCTGAAAGAAGAAAGTCATATACACCTAGGATGCCTCGGGGGTGAGTAAAACACAGCCTAATTTTAATTTTTGGGTGAACTAACCCTTTAATAGCAGGCTAATACTAAACTTACAATATCATCATCAAATGCCAGTAATTATCTGGTTGACACTTCAACACAATAAGTGGCGGTATTTCACCTTGATGCTGGTTGCCACTAGTCATAAAACAGGAAAAAAGACGGCAACAGTGTGTAGATACTACTGCTGAACAAAATCATGATGGAGGAGATGATAGACGAAAGCAAGCCACTCCACCCACTTTCAAAAAAAGTTAGTTTGCAAGTCTAGTAGCTTTTAAAGTTGGGGTGTGCAACACCCCCGAATGCAGGATATGCATTAAGTACAGCAAGTTATTTTTGTAAAGTTATGGTTACAAACTCTCTTTCCACCTACCTACAATCTTTCTGAGTGATACATCAGCCAAAAAGAGAGAAAAACCCCCACAAAAGATCAATTTGACTGATTGCAATATTTCTATAGATATCACAATAATAGTATTATCATGAATTATTTCACTCTTGATAATCATGTAGTGAAAATCAGCCTTAATCTGTTTAGCAGTAAGTCTATTCTTCACATTATAATCACATAGGCTGCATCCGAATATACACACTTCCCTACTAAACAGTAGGTGAAAAGCAGTATGTGAAAAGAGTAGTGTATCTGAATTCACAGTATTCATAACTTAAGACAGTAGATGAAAAGTACCCAGATGATCTACTACTTTCTGGATTGCGCATCTAGTGGACATTTTACTATGCCATGACGCCAAGACACAGGAGGGGATTTTTGAATAGAAGTAAAGCGACACAACTGACCCTGGTAAGTCACATAACAATGACGACAACATGGCAAATGTAGTACATCCAGATTACATTTATACTATACAGAACACACTTTTTACACAGTCATGCAAGTATACGATTCCAGACACAGACATAATAAGCTTCAAATGAATCTGATGAAAAACCCACACACTAAACAATGCCCACCTCTGACTCCTCTGATCCATTGCGTGGCAACACACAGCCATAAACTTTAACCGCATCTGAAAGATGAGAAAGAGCCTTTCCAAATCTAAAACCTAAAAATGGCACTACAGTTAAAACAAACCATTTATGATATTTTGTCTCATTACCAGTGTTTTGCTTGCATTGCTTTCTCTTCAGTCTTGGTCCAACTCCCTGGCCATCTTTCCAGCCCATTTTTCTCAGCAGCGCCACACCAATGGATGACCTGGAATTACACAATGGAATGCAACAACTTTAGTTTACAACTACATTTTAGTTCGATCATATTAGTTAGAGAGTGAGGATTACCTTGCAGGGGCAATAAGCTCCTCCAGCAGTCCAGTGTCTCCAGGTATCAGAGCAGCAAGAGAGCTGACCGCTCGTGCCTTGTCCTTTAACTGATCTTTCCTCTCAGATGCAAAATCATCTGTAGTGACAATCTCTCGAGGGGCAATACCATGCTCACTAAAATCCTTTAAGTAAACACATTCTATATTAGACAAAACATGTCAAGAACATCACAGGTATTAAGGCACAGTATTACTGACAAGGAAAACTGTGATCCACACACAAACCTCCTCATCCATAAAGTCCTCTGGTCTAGCATTCTGTCTCTCTGCCTTTTGCTGTCGAGACGATACAAACGTTGATGGAGTCCAGCCTAAAGAATACAGCAGCAGACTAGTTAAACTGCGACAAGACCCGGTTAACAGAATGAAAAGCATCAGTGCACGGAGCAAGGCTGTCACTGACCTTCTTGAGAGCCGACTGTGTTGAAGTAACCAGCGGAGAAGCCACCAGTGAAAGCACCGTGAAATCTCCTGTAACCGTCTGTTCGTGCACAGGTACCGGCTTTCTGATGGGTTCATCTGAAATACACGAACACCGTGGATTTGTGTAGAGAAGTGTGCGCTTTCTACGCCTGCATTTGTTTATTAAAACATTCACAGCTCCTACGTATCAAAAACCTGCAAATTCCCACAAATTGACAGCTTCATTGCACACATTTTAGTACCTTCTTCCAGAGGCTCTAAAGGAGTTCCATAAGTCACGAAATCCTCAACGCTATCTTCGTCAGACGACATGTTTACAACAAGTACGGTGGCCGCGTGAGCTCCTGCGATGTCTGATTCGTGAACCAATCGCTCCTTTGACTCGTCTGAACAGTTGTTTCGCGAGTCTGACTGACTCGGTCCGAGCGGTTCTCACTGACCAACCCACTGACATCGACATAAACGATTCACAATGTGCCGATAGAAAGAGCATTTGAAGTGATAAGACGTTTGACTGATGGTGTAAATAAAAAAGGATTGACATGGTGTGGAATTGCGTTTTATTATAGCTTTTGCGTTTTTTATTAGTAACATTACTGGTTGGAAAACACGAAATTGCAATAAAACCTCTTTAGAAACCTTATTTTATTATTACTGTAACAGAAATATGTGCATAAATGTGATTTTTCGATTTTTGAAATATGTAAATCACTAGGAAGACGTGATGACACAACTAAGTTCGAAAGAGTCGATTCGCGGATATGCTGCTTAAAAGCCAGACCCTCCTTAGCCCTCAGTATCAAAATAAACAGTTGTAACTGTCGCGTACATGCATTTATACCACCTTTGAGCAGCAATAGTCTGTGTAAAGACAGCTAAAAAAATGACACTTTAGGAGCACTCTTGCAGTGTAAATTTGGCATAATACCTTCACATTTATGCATTTGGTAGTCACTTTTATTCAAAGCGACTTACATTCAAGTTATACATTTCATCATTACATGCATTGCCTGGAAACAGAACCCACCATGACCTTTGTATTGCTAGCACCATACTGTACTATTTGGGCTATGGGAATTTGATAAGCAGACACATTATCTGTCTTGTTAACTGGTTTTCAGGTTAAGAGACATTATTAATAATAGCAACAAACACTGTAAAACAAACACCTTTTATTATTGCCAACACAGCTCATTTAAAGATTTTCTTGTAGACTTTGACTCTGGAGAGAAAGTAAATAAAATCTCAGCCAAACATGACACTCATTAAAGACGCATTTGCCTGTTTCCCTTATATGTTTAACATCTAGTGCAGCCTTTGGTCACATAAAAGTACTTTTTAAAAACAACAAAAAGCATCACATCATGTCATAGGCATTGACATTCTACAAATGTTGCCTACATATATAAAGGTCAGCTTAATGTGAACAAATTTCTACATTTTAATATTATGTGTTCAGCAATTTACTTAAAAATACATACACCGTATGCATCTAAAATAGGACAACAGCTTTACAAATGAGGATATCAAAATCCACAATCAAATAAAACTCACATTTTCCAACAGAAATACAAGGATGTTATCTAAAAATAGAAGAACCAATGTTTTTCTTCAAAATGGGCATTTCCGTTTGAGCTCCCATTGCTTCTTCATAAATTGCAGAGGGAAGTTAAAATCCTATTTGGGAGGTCGACCTTCACACACTTATGGATGATGTCCCGGCATGTGCAATCTCGATGAATAATATGATGATATGAAATACTCTCCACTTCTGTCTCTTCAAGGTGCTATTGGATATGAGGCCGTGGTTTCAGGATAAGTTTCCCCGTCTAGTATGCGAGAGGGAAAAATACAAATGTTTGCACAAGAAAAGTTACTTTGCATTCATAAACCAGTGAAACTGAGAGATCGCAAAGGGCAATTCAGAGGACACAAGTACTCACTTCATCACAGGACATGTTATATTCTGCAAGTACTGTCCGACAGCGTGCCGCAATACTGCAAGTGGTTAAGGAGAGATTTGGTAGTCACTGATCATTTGCAGTTTTGCAATTGTCAATAGTCAACAGATTGGCTGAATACAATAAAGACAGTACACATTTCCTGTATTAAAAAGGATACATAGATGGTGCAACAACTCGTTTGTGTATTCCAGCAAAGAAAAGGCCAATCAGAGTCACACAGCTGATTGTGAAAAATGGATGATTCCATAAAGATGAGAAGAAAGAAACCTGTGGAAAGAGAGAACATGACAGACAAACAACTATAATGGCAAACAGGCAGAATGCGGCATTTGACGCTAATCTGACACCTCTAAATTTGACATACTTTCTGAGTGTCTGGATCTATCAGCCAGTTCCAGGCGCCTGTGGCTGTGCACACAGACACCACGATCAGAATCACTGCAAAAAGAAGACAGAATTCATGAATTAAAACAAGGCAATGTAAGGCACAATATGCTTCATTTCAGTCCTTGTTGATTAATATACTATGGACACTTGGAAAGCATTATAGATCTTGGCTCAGACCAGACACATAGTCCAGATTTTAAACTGCTTGCAACAGGTTTAATAAAGATCTGACCAGTCTGACTTACTGCGCCAACGACCTGTAGCTGGCTGCAAACAAGACACATACTCCGTCAGTCTCCTCTCAAAAGCCTTCAGGTCTGCGGAGGAGCAAAACAACTGCATCAGAACAAGACTGACAGTGAGGTAAGCAACATCTGTTTTCTAATTTTAGTTTTAATTTACAAAGAATTCAGCCACCACGTAAAGGACAAGTTCAAAGTCAACTTTGTATCATTACAATGTTGGTGTTGGTAGTACAAATAAATGAACAATGTGTATTTTCCCCCCATATGACCTGAACCCGGATCTCCCAATTTATTTATCAGCTAAAGTGATTTTCTGACAGCTTCAGGGCTTTTATTAAAACTATGGTACTTTCGCATTTTTGTATTCCCGACCATGGACATTTAGATCGAAACCAGAGCATTATGGGTGTTGGAGTTTTCCTACATTTCTAGCAAAAGTGAACGCCACAAACCTAAATCTCCATTTTTAGTCATGTAACCCCTTTTTCAAAAACATTTCGCCTTTCTACTGTATAGACAGCCAAGTGTTATTAAAAGACCACATTGTCAGCGGTGAAATACCCCTTTAAGACACCATGCTGCTGTGTTTCACATCACTCTGAAAAACGCGTAATGAAGAAAGGCTAAGAATATAGATGGGCAAATACACCGATTTGAGTTTATAGGGTCAGAAACTTCAGTTGTACCAGGCATATCAAGGCACAGGCATCTTTATAGCTTTTACATTTTGTGGAAAATGTGCACTATTTTGAATGTATTATACGTCAGTGTCAGATATGATGGCATTATGATTGGCCAACACATTTAAAAGCCAAGACCGGGCCTGCGTCCCAATGTGCATACTATCCATCCTAAATTCAATGTGATATTAGTAATTTTCAATACTATTTAGGGCAGATAGGGTGATTAATATGCACATTGGGATGTAGGGGCCTGCACTCCTTGCTGAGGCACCAGTCTTGCGAGATTTCGTTTAACATACTTACGTTCATAATGTTGCTGCAGTGCATGTCAGCAAAATAAACCACGCTTTTATCAGCTGAAGGGTCTTAGAAGCTTAGCTTAGAAAAAAAAAAAAAAAAAGAATCTTAGCTTAGATCCTAGCAGCCCCGTGACAACACTATACATCTAACTTACAAACACATGGACGCTGCGCTAATATTTGGATATGATACTTGGAGATGAGAACACTAAACTGATAATCGATCTTTTGAAAAATACCTTCGGCTTGTTCTAATGAATTCATTGCTCTTCCCACAAGTGCTGTAGTCGCTGAGAGTAGGCCTGCAAACACACGCAACTGCAGTCAGCGTGCGCAAGCCAATCACGGAAGCTCTCTTCTCATTGGCTCCTAGAGAAGAGGGCGTCATCTTAAAGAAATATGTCCATTTATTTTGTTTATTAGATGCTTCGATATTTAGTTGTTTACGATTCTTTCAGCTAAGTATATTCAGTAATCAGACGCCTTCATTTAGCCTATTTAAATAAATTCCATAGCTGTCAAGACAGTACTTGCTTACATTTCTTGTTACAATTATTACAAGGAGTTGAAATGACAGTCAATCTGATTATATTTAAAAATGTAATGCAGCCTAACTTACTTTTTAAAGCTGAAGTAGGTAGAATTTTTTTACACTGCATGTCTTCTGTGTCAAAGGAAATTTAGTACCAAAAGTACATTGTTGAAAACAAAATTACATCTCTAGCAATTCAACAAATTCAATCATCTGCAAGCTTAAGATTTTGAGTTTCTTATTAATTAAATTATTTTCGTAATGTGCTGATGGGGTTTTCCCCTTAATTATTCCTCTTGTATTATTCTTGGAAGAAAAAAAAAACTTGTGAAAAAACCTGCATGTGTTTCTTTCTCTCTTCTATAAGTTTTTATCTCCCCATCTTTCTCTTTTATAGTCATGTGCTTTGTGAGATCAACATGAGAAATGGATCTGACATCTTATATTATTTATTTGTTTGTTAGGTTGTAGACTGACAAAATTTCACACATATGTTAGATTCTGTTTTTCCCTCTCTTTTTTAAGTCCTCTTTCCATCATTAAATATCAAATTTGATCTGATATTCAAACATTTATCTTTTTATCATTTATTACCGGCCCAGGAGTGAGGCAGAATATGCAAGGAAAGAGCTGAAAGTAGGAGACAACGTAGACAAAGGGAATAATGAGCACTGTTTACTGAATAATGTTAATTGTGTCCTCAGTGTAATCTGACTTCATCTGACAAGTACAAATTCAATGAGTGTTATGTCAAGTAAATACAATGGAAAATGATTTATCCACATTGCCCTATTACATTTGCAACCTTAAAATGGAGACATGGTTTCACAGCCTAAATTACAAAAATATTTTTAAAAAGTATTACATATATAGAGAGCATTAACAACATAATAAAAGACAAAGAAGCAGAGCCTTCAGAGAGTACAATTTTTATCTCAATATTCAAGCAAGACACACTGATTACTAAAATTATTAGATGAGCTGAGTACTAGATGCAATAATCAGCTTTGTTGTTTTTGGGTGTGAATTTATTAACTAACACCAGATTAAACTTTTCCCTTAGTAAAGCCTCTATCTCACAGTCTGGGATTTCTTTCATGTCCATCAAGTCCGAGTCCTCTTTAAATGTGACCTCGCTGTATGTCCAACCAATCAGAGCTCTGAAGCCTGTGGGTGTCTGAAGGGAGCAAATGGATTTGAGCATGAACAGAGAGTCTGGACTAGTCTGCAGGCAATCTGATGTCTCTCGGAAATGATCTACATCACGGGGTGTTAATGTGAAGGAGTATAATGTTTTGGTGAGCCGTTTATCAATGAGGCTGGAATTAGCAAAGGCCTTATCTTGGACCAATTGCTTCCTGCTGGTCTTCTCCAAAACCCACTGCATCCCATTATTTATGAGGCGGAATACGCCTGGAAGCTGTGGCTGGTCTTTACCTGAGATCAACTCTAAGGGATGCCAGATTTGGTACGACACTCCAAAGCTCACATCTGCAATGTACTGCTTCCCATCAATCTCCACCAGATTGATGAGATGAGAGTCCATGGGGAGGAACTCCTGTTCCAGTGAGTTGAACACTTTGGAGCCTAGTATGGTGAATTTGTATCCCATCTCCTTCAGGACCCATGAGAACAAGTGGTTGTTTTCACAACACCAGCCTCCCCGATTGCTCTTGACTATTTTAACATAGATGATGTGCAGGTCCATAGTGTTCTTCTCGCCAGAATGGATGCTGAGGTTCTCAAATGGAATATTCATAACATGCAGCTTGTGGATGGTGAACAAATTGTCCAGGTCGGCTTTGCCATATTGGCCAGTAAAGCCAATCCTGTTCAAGTACTCTTTCAGGTCCATTATATCCCTACAAGCAACAATGTACAAAGTTTTAACATAAAATGTCTAATCATTTTACATGGTTATACAGTATATGAAAATATATAATTACAAGCATGTTAAAGCATGTTAAATAGTGTGGCTCAAGGAAATACATTTTTTATTGTTATTATCACATGTAATCTTTCAAATGCCTTAATATATTTAAAGGAGCAAGATAATATTTTTGAATCTTAAAATACATGTCAGATTAATGAAATTCTTTAATTAACTGTACATCTAAATGAACATGTAAATCTAGATTTTTAGGTAACTAAATGTATCAGAAATATTATTTAAAAAATCTATATCAGTTTATGTTTTGCTTTTTTGTATATATTAAAAATAATAATGGCTGCAACACACTCAAAAAAAAAAGTTGGGAAAGAGGCATGTTTAACACATCAACCTTCCTTTTAATTAATGTTTCATTGTTTGGAAATTCAGTATACTAATTTTTAAAATTTTGCAAGCAACATTTTTGTCCAGTCTCACTTGATACAAGACTTCAAAAGCTCAGCAGTCTGTGATTGTCGTTGTCTCTCCTTTTCATGACTGGACGTACATTTTCAATTGGAGACAGATCTGGACTGCAGGTAGGCCGGTCTAACACATTCACTCTGTCTCTACGAAACCACGCTGTTGTAGCACATGCAGAATGAGAGCTGGCATTGTCTTGATCTAATAACCATGGACTTCCCATGACAGTATATATCTCTGTACAATCCCAGTATATGCCTCCATGTCAATGGTACCTTCGCACATATTCCAGTCACCCATGCTGTTTGCTCTTCTGCACCCCCATACCGTGACAGACGTTTGCTTTCGCTTCTGTCACTAATGAAAGTCTGGATGGTCCCTTTGGTCTTTGGGACTGAGAATTTGAAATCCATTTTTCCTGGAAACAAGTTGAAATGTGGACTCATCTGAGAACACCACACATTTTCACTGTATTTTTGACTATCTGAGATGAGCTGTGGCCCAGAGAACCTGGCAGCATCACTGCATAGAATTGATGTATAGCTTTCTCCTAGAGTAACAGATATTCAGCAGCAGCAGACTGTGGTAAATGACAGTGGTTTTCTGAAGTACTCCTGAGCCCATGTGGCTATATGTAACACTGCAGCATGGCGGTTTCTTATGCAATGCCATCTGAGGGCTCAAAGGTCAAGCACATTCAACTGAGGTTTCGTGCCTTGCCCTACATGTACTGTGATGTCTCTGGATTCCTTGAATCTTTTCACAATATTATGTATGGTATTCGGTGAAAGACCTAAATTCTTTGCAATTTTTTTTCACTTTTCACTTTCACTTTTCACATTTATTTTGTGAAATTTGGCCCAAAGTTATGAGCCATGATCCAGCTTTGCTTGCAAATACTGAGATGCTCCTTTTATACCCAAACATGATACCTTGACCTATTGCCAATTCACCTGCTTACTGTGAACTGTTTCAAAACAGTTTAACGTGGATATTCTATAACCACTTCACTTTTATTTTGCCTCTGTCCCAACTGGAATGTGTTGCAGCCATTTTTACAAAATATATTTACGTTGGTCAGTGAAAACTTTGGAACTCTTTTCATTGTACTTTTGTCAATTAAATAAAAGTTAAAGAGAATGAACAAATCTCAGATTCATGATTTTACTGCCCTTTACAAAACGTCCCAACTTCTCTAGAATTGGGGTTGTATATATATATATATATATATATATATATATTTGCCATGCAGGTAATTTAGTTTCAAGCTCTGTTTTGAGACATAACAGGGTGAATTCAGCTTAATTGGGACATTTTCCCAGTCATCTCAATGGCAAAACTGTCCCAAATATACAAAAATCAATAAAGAAAATTCTTTAGAATTGAAAAAATCCTACCGTTATGATGAATCCAGTGAGAGCTGAAGGAAGCGCAATACTCAAAAAGAATGTCTGCAAAATGAGGGGACTGAATGACACACCCTTGAACCACAGAGTAATAAATTAACTATGAATGATAAGCAAAGGGCAAAATCCACAAAGGCTGAACATTTCTGTATGACTCAACACACAGCATTCATTACTACTTTTCAAAGTATTGTTTCACAGAAGAGCCTTACTGGTGATGAACACTGAAACCAATGCTTATCTGTTTATTTGCAGACCATTACACAATATGCTTCCTGTCTTGTGACTGTTGCTAAAATGAGTTTGGCAGATACAGTATGACCCCTAATCTTTTGTGTAATGTCTCTACTAGAACTGGCTGAGAATATTGTTTCTTAGATTTCCTGCCTTGCTCTTGCTCTCTCTCTCTCTCCAGGCTACTGCTTTGCATAATGTCCCAATGTTAAATTCATCACAATATAAACAGTTTATGTTTACTTCAAATATTTTCATATTACTGTGAAACATAATGTCATGCAAACCCATGATAACTAAATTAGAAATGTATATTAAGGCACTTATGAACACCTGCAACTTGGGTAGAAGTACAATAATAATAGGGCTAAAATCAGGAGCCTTTTTTAATTGTTTTATAGCGTCCTCGAGTGGTCAAATGAAGCTAATGTTTTATTTGTTGTATGCATGATGGTCTCAGCATGCATCAATGTCATTCATCAAATAACAGCTTATAAAAGGTCTGTTTAATTGCTAAATAAAAATACAATTAATGCAATTAATAAATATTAATACTGACGTTCTCGAGCAACACCAGTTTGATATTTATCTAAACAGAAAACATGAACATTTCTTGAGAATTTTTTTTTAAACTGCCACATTTCCTGACACAATCAGTACTTAAATAGCTGTTTTATAATAGTGCATTTGCCAAATTATGATCCACTGTTAAATACAATTCTCTAACAAACATCTTACAACCCCCAACCATATTACCAAGTGCACGGTCAACCTGTTCTGTCCTACTGTCCTTATTGTGCAAACAAAAGCATGATATATGTGTAAGCCTCCATAAAATGAATAAGACAAACAGCAGTACTTGATATGACCCGTTTCCAACAGTGTGGGACACTGCAACTGAATCATATGCAGACTCACTGTGATGATTGTGCAACATGTACATCAGACTGAAATTATTTCAGTGGCATCTTCTGGTTGCTATACAAAAATCACCACATCCCTTATCTGTAGATTTATAACTTTTGTGGTCTTACACATCATAGATTAATCTCACCAATACATCTACATCGGTCTGAATCCATTCAAATCTTTTACTACTATTCATTCAATATTATATCAGATACCTCCCTTCTATTGTTTATTTATTCGGTTTCTAGATGACTTTGTCTGCATTTTTATATATGCCTGTGTTGACCGTCTGCATGTTACTGTTGTCTGTCTGTATGCAATATCATCCAATTATTTTACTTTTCAGCAGTTTGGTTTTCTTTGGATTGATAATGGCTGTTTGAAACACATACAAGCAATAATCAATGTATATAGAGTGAAAAGAACTCATAGGACAGTTTTTATCTTGAGACCGACTTTATCCTTCATGTTCTGTTACAGTTACGTACAACTGAAGAAAAGCAGAGAAAGTGGGCATGAGTTTCACATAGTTTGGTCAGTAGACACAGAGCTGTTGTTGTGGAAAACATGCATCGCTGAGCAAACTCCAAGGCTTGTGTATCTGAAACACTTGTTGCTTGATTTGGAGACAAACATGCTGTATCACGAGTTAGCCACAAAAAGAAAGGAGGAAATTCCCTTTTCCTGTGTTCTCGTGCACCGAAAAATGAGAAGTTTTAAGTCATGCAAGGTATTTTCCATTTTCTGTTTAATTTTCTCTCTTTGAAATAGGATCTGCTCCTGGCTTGAAGACAAAATTAAGTTAAAAAAAAAACATCAGCATGATGTTATATTGCTAATAATTGATAATGTTAAATACTTGTTTTGAGAGTTTCAGACAATATGCAGGCTATATAGCTAACAGCACTATAAAATCACATCTAATGTTTTTATCATAACTGAGCAACTTTATTGGCTACGTAAGCTTATTTCTTGGGACATTTATGAAATCGTTTACTGTATAGATGGAGCGAAGGGTTTATCTGATACTTTGGGGAAAAAAAGAAAGATCAGATAAAGGCATTTTAGACAGGATGCCAAGGAAACAGGATGTTACGCAATTATTGCATTATTTCGGACGTGCTTTGATGTCTGCAGCCACAGCCTATGCCGAGTCTTTTTCTTTTCATTTATGTATTGCCAAGTTGAAGCTATTCTCCATTTTGAGACAGCTGCAACCCAATATCCACTTGTAGGTTCTTTTATAATTTTCCTATAGTCCACGGTCCTTAGACGATGGGATGCTAGAGAGGCTGTCTAGGTTAGGCTACGTGGATTAACTGTTATTTTTAAATTTTCGTAAATCGTTTTTGAACTTGTTGGCAGAAGGAGCTGAACCAAACATTTGATTTTCCGGGTGAGAGGGAATTAGTTGAACGACTGAATTAAATACGTAAAAGCTCTCTGAACGCTTTCAGTCCAGCGCACTGCTGCACAAATGACATGATGTCGAGCGCGCATGCGCAGAAGGATTTGTTGGAAAAGGGATCTATGATAACGGTAATGCGCAACATGCGAGTTTGTTTTTGTAATGTAATTAAAAAAAAACATTAGTTGAATGAAAACATAATAAGTCATTTATAATTCAAATAAATTATTGAAGCATTGGTATTCTATAAAATATATACGTAGCTAAAACTGTTTGGTATTAAGCGTGTTGCTAACGTTACTCATCTGCCAAGTGAATGTATATTGGCTATTGCTTGGTCTAAAAACCTGAGCCGAATTTGGTTTTATTTTCCTTTTACTACACAGTTTACAAGATGTTGAGTAGTTAATAGCTTACTGTTGGACCGCTACGCTTCTTTTTTGTTCTTTGTTGTGTTCAGCTACACAAAATAACCCAGAACACTTGAACGTGTGAATAAACCAATTATAAGATAATAAGAAATTATAAAATGATACTATAATTTTATAATCATAAATGTAACGTGACGCAGGGCATGGACAGGTTAATAAATAGTAAACTTAGCTAACTGTCATGTCCTCAAAACTGACTCATCAGAAATAAGTGTTCATAGGTCAGGAGGCTTTAAAGCAGCTTTGACCTACACTGAGATCAGGTGCACCATCACCTACTGAGAAGTTATGATGGTTAATATATAAACTAACAGGACAGACCCCACATTTTGATTGATGAAAAGCTTGAAGAGTTCAATACGTTGTCAAGTATGCTGTAAAATGCAAATAATGTCCGGAATTTCTTTTATTAAAGAATTGCTAAAGTTATTTAGTGCCCTTCCTGTTGCTAAGAGAAATAAAAGCTTTAGAGCCTGACAATTTGTTGTTAAAATTTGTATTCAAAGAAACTGAAACTTGTTTTGACCTTAATTGTGGTGACTGACACTCATCAACAGTAACATAACATCTGTGTAAAAAGTAGGTGAAAGAACCTTCTTGTGTCTTTGCCTTCTCACCCTGAGTCAGTATCCTCAGGGCTGTTATAAACTGACTTTGGTTTATTCCACAGGCTGAAAAAAAGACTGGATTTGCAGCATCCGACAGGTGGTGAGAGAGACAGAGGAGGAGTGTCAAGACCTCTGCTCATGTTAACCTTTGAGCCTGGTAAAATAGTGATGTAACTCAGCATCAGGACATTAAATCACGTTGCTGCTGGAGTATTAAGGCATTCGAGGTTAGCCTGACAAATACATTGTCCAGTACACAGACAAAAACAGCAGGTAAAGGTAAGTCACTTTTACTACTATTAATATATTAGTATTACTGTTTTTGACATAAATGGTACTGCTTTTATTAGTGCTGTCAAACGATTAATCGCAAGTTTTTGATTACATAATATATGTGTGTGTACTGTGTACATTTATTATATATATATATATAAACACACACACATGCATGTATATATTTAAGAAAAATATGTTATGTTTATATATTAAATATATTTATATATGATATAATTTATATGAATATAAATATATACATGTAAATATTTTCAAAATATATGCTGTATGTTTGTGTCGTTATATATACATAATAAATATACACAGTACACACACATATTATGTAAACAAAAACTTTTATTTTGGATGCGATTAATCACGATTAATCATTTGACAGCACTAGTTTTTATTCATTCAAGAGATTATATTTCAAGTTCTTGATTAATAACCTACAGAAACTGAACAATGAGGAACTCCACAGAGAAACAGAATGTGGAAGGAGTTTCTTTTGTAAGTGAGATGCTGACTGTATACTTTACTTTTCTTCTGTCAAAACATTTGTCCTCTAATGAGATATTTTTGACTCTAATTTTTTTGTTGACTCAAAATCCCTTTTATTTTATGATATCCATATCCCTTTGTTTTTCTCTCGTATTGTGCAGAAACAGAGAAGAGATAGTGCTTCATTCATGAGTGCTTTTCCTGAAGGTCCTCCGGTTCTAGATTACAGGGAACCAGAACCTCCTTCTAAGAAGCACAAGTACCAGCAAAGCTTGAAAACCCTCATCCCATTCCGTTTTGGCTCAAAGTAAGACGGTCACCAGATTTCTCAACATATTATAAGCATATTACATATTTTTATATCAATAATGAAAGTGATCTGTCCATTTCATCAATAGATCAGAGAAAATACTAAAAGAACATATGTTTTTATTATATCATTAATGAATGAAATGCCCCAGTTTTTCTGTTTTTAATCAATAAGTCTATCATTCATATATAATTTCTGAAAAATATACATTTTCTAACTTTTTACAGCTCACACCCAGTGGATGATGCTGGTTTTTTCTCCTTCACATCATTTGCATGGATGTCACCCATGATGTGGAAGCTCTTTAGGAATCGGTTAGATGAGGACTCACTTTTTCTCTCACCTCATGATGGAGCCCACACCAATGGAGAAAGGTACAACAATTAAAAGCAAATTCTTCATAAGCTTTCCATTAGAATCTTAACTTAGTTTAGGAAGTCTCAGCAGAATGAGTATCCAGTGTAGCACTTGGCGAACATGAAACCACAAGTCATCGTCTGATGTTTTTTCATATATCCAGGTTGAGTGTGGGGAAATGGATGTTCAAAAAAAGAAAGGTTGTGATTTCTGTTCTGTTCAGGCTTCAAAGACTGTGGGATGAGGAAGTTGCCCATGTGGGTCTAGAGAAGGCATCTCTTCCTGCAGTGGTCATGCGTTTCCAGAAGACAAGATTTATAGTGGCATTCTTCGTCTCTGTCCTGTTTGCTTTCGGAGCATTTGTTGGTCCGGTATGTATAATAACTTAGAAGTACACAGCATAATTTAGTTGAAAAATGAATTATATTACTTTCATGTTCCTTATAGTGCTCTATATTTTATATTGAAGATAATCCCTTTTGAGGGACCCACTTGCAAAAAATATAGTATCAACTGTATATTTCTATGTATAAAATGTAAGCATGCTATTGTAAAGTTGTTTCTTAAATTAAATAATTTATATTGTCATTGTACTAAAGGCAAATTACTGTATCTATGAAACAGAATGAAATAGTTCTAATTAAATTTGAAAACCTCTGATCTAGTATGCATGATTTCTTATGAACTGTTTTTTTGTTGTTTTGCTACACATCATGGTTTTGAATGTTATTTTTTGCCTTCTAGTCTATTTTAGTAAATGAAATCCTTAGCTACATTGAGCAGCCTGAGTCATCTACACTGTTGCATGGCGTCGGTTTGTGTGTGGCCCTGTTCGTGGGTGAATTTAGCAAGGCATTTTTTGCATCGCTCCTGTGGGCTCTGAACTTGCGCACCGCTGTGAGAGTGAAGGGAGCTTTCTCAATGCTCGCTTTCAAGAAAATCATCTCTCTCAGAAGTCTAACCAGCATTAGTATAGGAGAGGTAAGCTATTGATTGTTGATTCAGCAGTGAATATTTGATAAGGGATTTATTTGTGTTTATTTACTCTCTTTTGCTAATCACTTTTTAATGACTTCAATTACATTCAATACAAATCGAGCTTGTTGTGTTAATGCTTTGTTTCTCTATGGTGTAGACAATAAATGTGTTGACGAGTGATGGCTATCGAATGTTTGAGGCAATCATGTTTGGAACATTTCTGCTGTGTGTTCCGTTCCTGCTGATCATATGTATCATATATGCCTGCGTCATTCTGGGATACACAGCACTTATTGGAATTCTGGTCTACTTGATCTTCCTACCAATACAGGTGTGCTGGTCTCTTCTGTAATGCGTTTTGAGATCTGCATTTGATATTTACTCATCTCAGTAATGTTTTGTTGATTTTTCCTCCGTGTCTGTATGTGTGCGCTGTAGTTTTCAATTGCCAGGCTGATTGGTGTGTTTAGACGGCGGACTGTGTCTGTGACAGACAGACGTGTTCGCACTATGAATGAAGTTCTGACTTGCATCAAACTCATTAAGATGTATGCGTGGGAGGAGTCTTTTGAAAAAACCGTCACAGGTTGTCCATCCATCCATCCATTTGATTTTATTTACTCATGACTCTATGGAATGCAGTAGGCATTCCATTTTCTCTCATCTAATCCTACCTTATTTTTTTTCAAACCTAGATATCAGGAAAAAGGAGAAGTTGCTATTACAAAAGGCTGGTTATGTTCAGAGTTTAAACACTTCCTTTACAACGATAGTTCCCACACTAGCAACCATCCTCACCTTCATTGTCCACACTGCTCTGAACCTGCCTCTTCTACCTTCTACTGTGAGTGGAAAAAACAAAAATATACTTATATTCTGCTAAATGAATAAATAGGCACTACCAGTCAAAAAGTTTGGTGCCAGAAAGAAATCAATACTTTTATTACTTTTTAATTAAATACTTTTTAAAAAACGTTATATTCATCAAAGAATTCTGAAAAATATAAAAAATAGCACCAAATCAGCATATTATAATGGTTTCTGAAAGATCATGTGACACTGACTGGAGTAATGGATGCTGAAAATTCAGCTTTGCCATCACAGGAATAAATTACATTTTAAAAGTATTTTTTTAAATAGAAATAAAACTTATATCTTACTGTATATTTGTTTTGCTGTATTTTTGATCAAATAAATGCTGACTTGTTTTAAAAACATATAATCTTACTGAGCCCAGTGAACTTCTGGTACTGTAGATGCAAATTTGAGTATTTTAACTTCATTACTTTTATACTGTTAACTATAACCATTTTTTCTCCACAGGCCTACACTATCATTGCTGTATTTAACTGCATGAGGATGTCTATGGGCTTGTTGCCATTTTCTGTTAAAGCGGTGGCTGAGGGTAAAGTGGCTCTCGCTAGACTCAAGGTTGGACTCTTTCACATTCCTCTCATTTTATCCAAAACCAAAGATAATTATCTCTCCAATGTACTTAACCGTTGTTGAAAAGGTATTCTCTTTTCCCCATGATTTTGTACCTTTGGCCCATTATCTGCTCTAATCTGGTATTAGTTCAGGACATATTGAGGAAGATTTAAGTATTGTTCATACAAGTGAAAGATAAGTGTTTAGGAAACATATTTCCAGAGTATTTTACACACTCTGACACATGTTGATACTCTGACACATGTCGATCATGTCTGTTACACTGAATGAACCTGATTTTTCTCAGCAGTACAATGCAAATAACCAAACATTTAATGCTTGCATCTCTACAGAAGCTTATGTTGGTACAGAACCCCAAAGGTTATCTCACACAGGATAAGAATATGGATGTAGCGCTGGCCGTGGAAAAGGCCTCATTCTCCTGGAGCCTGCCAGATGCCATGAACTCCACCGAGAAGCCTAAAGATTCTTCTGAAAATGCCGACTTCAAACCTTCACTCAGAAACGTCAGCTTCACACTTTCAAAGGTGTGATATGACTATATTATATGGGACGTTATGACGTTCCAGTAGTTGATAAACATTCAGGATGTGTTCTAGCACTACAGTAGAGTCTAATGAATCTCTCTGTTTATTTATAGGGAAGACTGCTTGGGGTGTGTGGCAATGTTGGAAGTGGAAAAACATCTCTGATTTCAAGTATTCTTGAGCAGGTGTGGTGCCTCTGTCTTTTCTGCATCCTAACGAACAGTTTCACTTATGATGTGATGAGGTGTGATTGACAGTGGAATTATTTATTCATGCAGATGCATCTTCTAAGTGGGTCTGTGTCAGCTAATGGAACATTAGCATATGTGTCCCAGCAAGCCTGGATATTCCACGGGACTGTAAGGAACAATATCCTAATGGGAGAACCATTTGACCAAACCAGGTGAAATTTTAAACATCAAAGACTAAACAGGTCAAAGACTTTGGTCAACAGTTACGTTTTTAAAAAAAAAATTTAATGGAAAAGTGTCAGTAGAGTTCACTTCTGCTCAGTAAACATTATAATCCAAATCAGGCAGTGCGGTTGCCAGAGTTTTACTAAACAACAAAGCCACATCTGAAGTCATATCATGACATTTTACTGGAAGCCAAATGCCAACACCAAGTCTATCATGTCAGCATCTTTATTGGCCAGAAGAGGAGAGACTAATGTAGTGGAAGATTTAAAATGGCTATTCTACAGCCTGATCTACATGAAAAGTAAAACAGAAACCTTCATGAAGATACAGTGATTAAAGGTCATTCAGATCTCATATGATCAGCATGTATCATACAAATATAGCTGATATATGAATAAAAGCGTCCCACAGTCTTGGCAAAATATTGCAGCCAAAAAAGATTAATCGTCTGTTGTCAACAGTGTAGCGATGTATGTAGCACAGCTCACACAGAATCACTTTTAAACCAAGCAGTTTTCTCTTGGCTTACAAGGCAAATCCGCATGACCAACCTGATCCTGTTGCAAAATGATGTGATATTGTATTGTATATTGTATGTGTTGTGTGTACTGTATTATGTGTGACTTAATATTGTAATTTTGTAACAACATCCTGCCCAGGGACTGCAGATGCAAATTAGCTTTATAGCTAACTCTGGCACAACACTGTTGTTGTGCGTTGTCCCTGTACAAATAAATTGAATAAAAAAAAAATAATAATAAAAAATAAATCTGCGTAGGGAAGTCTTTCACCCTCACACAAAATTCCAGATTGTGTGGACACTTGAAATGACTGGATTCCACCTGCTAAAAATTTAAAACACTCTTTTTAAGAGCACTCTTAGTCTCTTTAGATCTGAATGTTAGGCGGTGGGATTGCAAGACAGACCGAAGAAGAGTAGTTTAGTATGAAACTCGACATTATTTCACTGAACAGCTAAATTTAGTGAGCAGGTCTCCGACATACACAGTTCAGACACCACTAACCCATTCATTTTGAAATTACAAATATAGCAAGTATTTATTTACCTCTGTGTCAGTCCTGTCATTCTAGGAAGCTGCCCCTCACCTTTCTAACACATGTAATTTACCAGATCCTGTTTTAGTGCCAAGAAGACAATGAACCGCTTTATGGTGTTTTTTATTGCTTGTAATGACTTTTATTGGATGGGGTAAATTTCTGGCCAGTCTTAGCTGCTGTATAATCAATGTAAAATTGTTGTTGAACATTGATCCTTGATACTGAATTGCTGCATCCTAAAAAATTCTGGTACATGCTTGCTGTGTTTTAGATATGCCAGAGTTATTCATGCCTGCTCTCTGAAACCTGATCTGGAAATACTTCCATATGGAGACCAGACAGAGGTACAGTACTCTAATTAGTACTAAGGAATTCAGTTATATAGCATATGAGGATGATAATATTACTTATGTGTGTCTAGATTGGAGAGCGAGGTATTAATCTTTCAGGTGGTCAGAAGCAGAGGGTCAGTTTGGCCAGGGCAGTGTATTCTAACAGAGACATCTTCCTTTTGGATGATCCTCTGTCTGCTGTTGATGCACATGTTGGGAAGCACATATTTGAAGAATGCATCAAGAAAGAGCTGAAGGGCAAATCAGTCATTCTGGTCACTCATCAACTGCAGGTAATTCACTCTAACATTATTCCATTATATCTTGTTCATTGGCTTTGCAGGCCTCTTTTCTCTTCAAAAGATTCGAACTGTTAGTGGAGTAAATATTTGCTCCTACCAGAGAACATATAGATATGATTCCCAGTAGCTTCTGAAAACATGAAAATATCAGGAAATTTTTTAAGTGGTTTTTGTGGAAAGGTCATGGTCATCAATAAAATCTTAAAAGTCATTATAATATCTAATAAAAAAGCTAAAAAAAATATATATAAAAAAAAATAATACAAACATCAGGCCAGTTTCTTACAATGTTTATTATTCTAGTTTTGATCTAAAATACGCAATTGACCAGTTATAGCTCTTGTGTAAACATAAATCTGCTCCAAAAATGACTTTAGATAAATAAACTTAGTTAAACGTTGCTTTTTGACAAACAGATGTTTCCGAGATTAAGGGCTGTAGTTGTATGTATGTAAAGTTAATATATAACCGCTGTCCTGGAAGAAGATACAATATAAAACATGCATGGAAATGCACATAAACCTCGTAGACAGTTTCATGAAGTAAACAATAATGATTAATTGGTGTTGTCATAATACATTTAATGTATAACCTCCTCGGTTTGGGAAAACGGTCATCTAAGCGTGCCTCACTGGTTATGTAATGGTGGGAACACATTTTCTTTCACGTGCATTCACAAAATTCATTAGAGAAAGCTCAAACCTTTTGTTGACTCATGTCAAACAGCATGTCTTAGCAACTGTGTGAGTCAGTGTGACTCAGCACAGCTGCCTTTAATGTGTAACTACATAATCTGAGAATCATAACTTTTCATTAGTTATTCCCAGATTTTTTTGCATGCTCATCTCAACCGATGTCATCAGCTGCTCCTCTCTGTTGTGTTTGCAGTATTTGGAGTTTTGTGATCAGGTGTTGCTGTTGGATAATGGGGAGATAAAGGAGGCAGGGACTCACAGTGATTTGATGAAAGCTAAAGACCGCTACGCTCACCTCATTAACAACTTCCAGCTGGAACAGAGCAATGTAACCACTCTCACTTACTCCTCTCAATTGCTTTATCAATGAAATAGGCCATTAAAATAAACTTATGTTGACATGTACCAGTTTCAAATACTAAGCAAAAACAAAATCTGAGAACATAATGATTTGTGTGTCACTGAATTTCTTCTTAATTTTCATTTTTGGATCATATAGGAAAATTCAGAGTCTGATTCCAAAACACATACTGAACACAATGACTCTAAACAGACCAATCCAGATGAGCCCAAAGTCAACGGAATCGAAAATCCAGGTTAGTGGTTAAATATGTTATTAACAAGAGTTAAAATAATCTACTTTTCTTTCATTTTGGATCCCTTTAGGAGAGCAACAACAAATCAAATTCTAAAAGTAAAAAAAATGTATAGCTATAAATGTATAGTCAAAAAAATGTATTACTACTGTCTATTAATAAACTATTATTTTCATTATAAACTGCAGTGAATCTTATTATAATTTCCTGAGATTATTTTATCTTGTAATAAATAACAATAAATAAAAAAGTGCAATTTATTTATAAATATATTTATACAAGTATTTATAAATGTTTTATAAGAAATATAATGAATAGCTGAACGTGATTAAAAATTAAATTAGAAAAGACTGTCTAAACAAAGCATCATGGCTTCCATGAAAATCTAAAGTTTAGCATGAAGATTTTAAATTCAGAATTGTGTTTTACAGATAGATTTAAGGCTGGATGATTGTGCCAAATTTGTTTTCACGTGACTTGAACACTGTAGAAGACGTTACAGTTTAAATATGCAGTCCCTCCACCTGCTAAATATCATTAAATGTAATGAAGAATTATTTTTGGTAAAACAGACATCTGATTAAAACATCTTTATTTCTTTTCTCTTGATAGCTTTTGATATATCTGATGAGAAACATGCAACAAATGAATTACCCAAAAACTCCACAGAAACAAAAGGTAGAGAAATGAACACAATCACAATATAATCAAGAAAAAAATCCATTATATTCATACTGGTTAACTTTGACTCACACAATAGTCTGTATGTGTGTTACAGGGAAAAAGGATCAATTAGTAACACGAGAAGTGTCGCTTGAAGGTGCAGTTACATGGAGGACTTACCACGAATACTGCAAAGCTGCCGGAGGTTTTTTTCTTCTTTCTCCACCTCTGTCTCTTTCTACTTTATAAATGTTGTTAACACTGCTTCTAATTTATACCTTTATCTCTGTCTATATATCTTTGTAGGGTATATACTGCTGTTCATTGTTATTCTTTTCTTCATTCTTCTCGTGGGATCGACTGTTTTCAGCAGTTGGTGGCTGAGCTACTGGTTAGATCAGGGGTCAGGGGTAAATACGTACACACACACACACACACACACACACACATTCATGTGACCCATCAAGACCTTACCATCTTACTATCAAATCACGTTTTTCTCTCTCTTTTCTTATAGAACAGCAGTAGTAATTCATCAAGCAGTGGTAATATCTCAGAGAATCCAGACCTGCCATTCTACCAAATGATTTATGGCATTATTATTGTTGTTATGGTACTGCTGTGTATTGCCAAGGGCTACACCTTCACTAAAGTCACTTTGCGTGCTTCTTCCAAACTGCATGACACCATGTTCAAACGGGTACGACATATTATTAGCAGATTAACCTCATATAAGACATTTCCACTATTTTTGCTGTAATTATGACAAAGTTGCTTGTTTTTGAAAAATGTTATCAGAAACTGGGATTGTATTAATAATATATTAGTGATATATTAGATTAATTAACTATGATTCATTTTATGATTCCTGTGCTGTTTTTCAGCAAAAAACTATAGTTTTTTAAATTTATTTTAATTTAGATTAGACTTTTAATTTATTGTTATTGGTTCATTTCAAAGGAACTAGTTTTTATAATGTGAGTGATCAAGTTTAAGTTGAAGTGCTCAAGCACTGTGCTACTATTTATTCTGTAAAATGAGAACTGCAGCATTTTGATACCATGCAACTGTACTTTTCATCAGATCCTTGGCAGCCCAATGAGTTTTTTTGACACAACTCCAACTGGCCGCCTGGTGAACCGCTTCAGTAAAGACCAAGATGAGGTTGATGCAGTTTTGCCGTTCAACATGGAGAACTTTTTGCAGTTCTGTCTGATCGTCACTTTCACCCTTCTTACCATCTGCGTAGTGTTCCCATACCTTCTGATCGCCGTGGCAGTTCTCGCAGTCATCTTTGCCACAATCCTATAGTGAGACATGAACATTGCACCTTAACATCATATGATGAGGTTTTGTTTTTATCCAGAAGTAGAATACAACAATTACAATCACTGATCCACCAAACAGGTTTCAATGGCATGAAATATACAAACCATCTGTGTTTTCTCTTTGCCCTAGTGTTTTCCAAAGGAGCATTCGTCAGATGAAGAGGATGGAGAACGTGAGTCGTTCTCCCTGGATCTCTCTCACCACCTCCACCATACAGGGACTCAGCACCATCCATGCCTATGACAAAAGAAAGCAGTACATTGAACAGTAAGATAGTACCCTCAATATATTTAGATATTAGATATTCATTTATATTAGAAAATATTTTAGAAAGACATACAGTGCTTGGAAACACGTTGTGGTACTTGCCAAAATGAATATGAAACACCATTATGACACTCATGAATCATATATCCAGAATGACTCAGTAATTATTCAGCAGGCAAGCATAAGTTAATATTTAGACCAACAACATGATTACAAGTGGGATATTGCTTTTATGCAACAGTCCAGTTAATATTGAAACCGAAATTGAATTGTAACTTACATTTTAGACACAATATTGCCAGTTACTTCATCCGTTTCTGCTCCACTAAAGAAACCAGAACAGAATTAGTGTTTTTTTTTAAATCAAATCAGTTGAGTCAATGACTCAAAGACAGCTGTGTGTTGCCACCTACTGGTGAAATGATGTAACTTGCAGAAAGAGACTAAAACAGTGGTTCTCAAACTTTTTTGATCAAGCACCCCTTTAAACCTATAAAAAAAATCTCCCTATCCCACCTCAGACTACCAAATAATTTCACTAAACATTATGAAAAATTAATGCTTTTTTAATTTAAAAAAATCTACATGGAAAAAAACACCTGCATCACTTGAAACATTGAAAAATAGCATAGAGAGAATAACTGTTATTATTATTATTCTCTCTGTTATTTATTTATTTATTCATTGTGGGTTTCATGCTGTCCGCTAAGGCATAGGACACACACAGGCTTTCCTCCTCACCAACGACATTAAACACTGTGTCTACACCGGACACGAGCGGCAAAATACAGTAGAACCCATTATAATCAGTGACGCTGTGTACACTGGATGCGGCGCGGCGCGGCGCGGCGTGGCGTGACGCAACACGACACGACAAAACCCAACATTAAACTGATGCCTTGTTCTATTTATGGTGTACTGACACAGAGTTAAAATGATTTGCAACGGTCGCTTAGCGATGCGACAACTGTAGCGTCCGGTATAGACAGTGAAGCCAAGAGCAAGATATGCCTCGTCATATTTTCTGCATTTAGAATTGAATGACCAGCACCTGCCTGGGTCGGGCGCGCCCCACACTTCGAGAACCACTTCTCTAAAAAGATCCAGTGCTGTTGGACCATATACGGCCAAATAGATTCAAGGACCAGAACTAACTGTAGTATAATTTGAAATAACATTTAGGCCATAAGATCTATGACTTTTGAAGAGAACTCAGTAGAAAAAGTTAGGAACATTTTTTTTGTTCTTAGAAGCCGTCACTAATTGTTTAGTCCAACTGACTGTATGTTGACTTCACATTAAATAAATGTAGAAAGCAAACCAATGAATTGAAAGTCACGTATTGTTTGTGTGTTTCCAATGACAGGTTTAAGATGCTGAGTGACACCAACTCAAACCACTTCATGCTGTTTAATTGTGGAACTCGCTGGCTGTCATTTTGGTTAGACTTCCTGTCCGCTACTGTTACTCTGATAGTGGCACTTTTTGTAGTGCTCAGCTCCAATGAGGCCATAAACCCTTCTCAGAAGGGCCTGGCCTTATCTTACACAATACAGGTAACTCTCACAGACTAGAACAGTAGGCTAACAAATAAAAGTTTGTCAAATTCAGCTAGATGTCTGAGCACATTTCTTGCATTTCTGTCATTGCAGTTAACAGGAATCCTTCAGTTTGTGGTGAGATTGTCCACCGAAGTGGAGGCGAAGTTTACCAGTGTAGAGAGGCTGCTGGAGTATATTACGGTAAGAGACTTAAACATTAAGTTTACCTCAGTATATCATACATTCATATTCAGTTTAGAAGATAGTTTTGATTTCTTATCCCTGCGTGCTTGTGTGCTGTAGAATTGTGTATCAGAGGGTCCACGAAGTGTGAAGGATGTGAGTACTTCCGCCGGCTGGCCACAGGAGGGCGCCATTACCTTTAAAAACTACAGTATGAGATACAGGGACAACACACCCATAGTCCTCAATAATCTCCACATAAATATTAAGCCAGGAGAAAAAGTCGGCATTGTGGGACGCACTGGCTCTGGTGAGAGAGAATATATTATGTTTTATTCAAAGCTTAATTTATGTTTTCATTTTTAAATTTTAAGCTTAATTTTCTCTTATTATTGTCATATGTTAATATTGACTTAATATTGACAGTTACCTGGGTTAAATTCAAAAATAGAGAGTCGTGATATGTACTAAAATATGTTGTTGCCTTCATAAAATGCAGAAAAGCAGCTTGTGCATATCAGTAAAGGCATTTGCACTATGAATGAGGATGTTCTGCCAGATCTTTCTGAAATTGATCACTCGTTGACCCTCTCTTTCTGATTCAGGGAAGTCCTCTCTGGGTGTGGCATTGTTCCGTCTGGCAGAGCCTGCTGAGGGCACTATATTTATAGATGATGTGGACATCTGCAAGCTGGGGTTGAGAGATCTTCGCAGCCAACTCTCCATCATACCACAGGATCCTGTACTCTTCATCGGCACTGTCAGGTGACCTCTCACCTTTCACCTCTTCCACTCTTCTACTATCTTATTCACAACTGGTACTTATTCTACCAGTGAATCACCTCATTTAAAATTACTTGAAACTGAAATGGACAACAGTTATTGTGAGATATCACAATTGCAAAAATGTATTTGCAATTAGAAGGATTATGCAATTATGAAAAATAAATGGGCAGTTATCTTTGATACTTACAACCTTAATCTACATATTGTGTGTATTGTAATCTTGTACATTTTGTGGTCACTATAGAAATAGTCACTATATTTGGCATGAACCAGAAATTGTTACTGTTGTAAATCCAAGTAAAATGGCTCCTCAAACGGAAAAAAAATGGTAGGGCTTGATTTTGTCCATCTAGAATTTATTTGGATTGTTGCTGTCTGCTCATTTCTGTGATCTTTTTTAACACGGTTGCTTGACGAGAGGGAATGGAACTTGTCTGGTTATTGGACAACTTTTTTGCTCAGCCCTCATTTTGCCCTGCTCTTCGCTGATGACACGATATGGTGCACGGCATCAGTGAAGAGCAGTGTTATTTTAGTATTATTGATATGGTACCCTCTCAGAAAAAAAGACACAAAAGCTGTCAATGGTGTGGTACCCTTTCACATATAGTGAAGTACTAATATGTACACTTCAGGTACTAATATGTATTTTTTAGGGGTGAATACAGTACAAAGGTGTACCTTTTGGAAGGGTACCACCTCAGTGACAGCTTTTTTACTTTTATTTCTGAGAGTGTATTTTTATTAATGTTTTTTTAATAGTTTTAGTTTGATATTTTCTTTGTTTTCCATTTGAGATAAATACCTAGTTAGTAATTTTGCTCTGTTTTTGTCTGTTTTTTATTATTATTAATATGTTTTATAAATATGTCCATATAATTTTCATTCATTTTTGTTTTAGTTGTAGTTATTAGTACATCAAGTGAAACTTAATGAAAATGAGAAATGTTGCCTTGGCAAAAAAGGCGAAAATAAAATAAGGTTTTTTGTTTTAAATTTAATTTCAAACAATACATTTTAGTTCACTGGTTTTTAAAAAATAATGATTTGCACAGATTAATCATTTATAATAAACACTGCAACATTCCATAAAAAAAAAAAAAGAAGAAGAATTGTTGATTTAGATTTGATGGTGACTTCAGTGTGTTTGTTTGTGTGGTTACTTTATACAGGTATAACCTGGATCCCTTTAACAACTACAAAGATGAGGAGCTCTGGCTTGCTTTAGAAAAGACCTTCATTAAGGACACGGTAAAGACTTGAATGAGGCCTACAAGCAATACACGTTTTACATGGCAGAAAATAGCTTGGATGCTCACACGTTTTCAGCTACAGGCTTCCGAAAATTTCAAACTTGATGAACAATACCTTTTTGTATAAGTATTTGGCATTTGATCAATTGGCACTTGAACTCCATTCACTCATTATGATAAAGTTAGCTTTCAGGTGATCCGTGGGGTGCCATGATTTCATTGTGATTTCAACAGTCACGGTTTCTACTAGGAGCAGCTCAAACATCATTAAGTTAATCTAGCCTTTTATGTGAGGATATAATTTATTGAGAGAGCAAAGAAAAATCACAATATAAGAGTGGGCATGTTAGTGAAAGCTGCACTATAGTGATGAAACATAGACGTAACATCTGCTTAAATTCCTTTCAGTACCTTTCAGACTTTGGGCCATGGTAACATATAAAAAGAATAGAGAAACAGCAATAGAATATAATAGTCATAGAATAGGCATAGACATTCAGGTGTTAAATCATCCACACCTCTCTCTCTCTCTCTCTCTCTCTCTCTCTCGCAGATTGCTAAGCTGCCAGAGAAGTTGCACTCTCCAGTAGTGGAGAATGGAGAGAATTTCTCGGTCGGAGAGCGGCAGCTCATGTGTATGGCTAGAGCGCTCCTTCGCAATTCAAGAGTAAGAACACAAACACACCCAGAATCCCCTTGAAAATATTCCTTGCTCTTGATGTGTCTGATAAAATTGTGTTCATAGATCATTCTACTGGACGAGGCGACAGCATCTATAGACTCCGAGACTGACAGCATGATCCAGCACACCATCAGAGATGGTTTCCAGCACTGCACTATGCTCACAATCGCCCACAGAATCAACACAGTATTGGAGAGTGACCGCATGAGGTGTTAAATCATCCACACCCCTCTTTCTCTTTCTTGCAGATTGCTAAGCTGCCAGAGAAGTTGCACTCTCCAGTAGTGGAGAATGGAGAGAATTTCTCGGTCGGAGAGCGGCAGCTCATGTGTATGGCTAGAGCGCTCCTTCGCAATTCAAGAGTAAGAACACAAACACACCCAGAATCCCCTTGAAAATATTCCTTGCTCTTGATGTGTCTGATAAAATTGTGTTCATAGATCATTCTACTGGACGAGGCGACAGCATCTATAGACTCCGAGACTGACAGCATGATCCAGCACACCATCAGAGATGGTTTCCAGCACTGCACTATGCTCACAATCGCCCACAGAATCAACACAGTATTGGAGAGTGACCGCATGCTAGTCATGGACCAGGGCAAGGTAATCCACTGCTTCTTATATATAAATTGACACTGCAAACAACATAGGCTATATATTCTAAATATATTACAGCATAAGCCTACTTCAATGTTTTCTTCCAGGTGGTTGAGTTTGATCCACCACAGGACCTGATACAGAGGCCGAACTCTTTATTTGCATCACTTCTAGCAGCAGCAAATCAAGTGAACTCGTGAAGCACTCACATACTCATATAGACCTTCACACTGTTGCAAGAGTCTGTGGTAGGGCATATAAACTGGGGGGGGGGCAATTGTTTTTCTAAAGGGGACATCAGTAAGGAAGGGAAGGGGGACAGGGCCACAGAACTTTTTCACATTAATAAGTAAAAACATTGCACTTTTTTAATTTGAGCTTCACATTATTAATGTAATTTTCTTGTAAAACTTCAGAGGGCTCTGCACATTTTTGTTCATGTGCTTTATATGTCTACTTTATATATTGTATCTTACAAAGTCTGGATTTCGAAAGCTATTTACTTGTAGCCACAGCACTTACAGACTAAGCTTTAAATGTTCACTCATTTTTCATAGGTTCATCAAATGTATATATTTAAAATATTTATTTGATTTTTATATGTATGAAACAGATATCAAAGGACAACACATGCACAAATAAAGCCTGGTTTCTCTCTTGTAAGCTTGTATTTCACTTTATAGCATAAGATGTTATATAGTACATTTCATTTAAGCTTGGAGAATGTTCTAGTTGAGTCGGTGTGTGTTTGTGTGTGTGTGTTTCTCATCTTGGACACTGGGTGTCTCTCTCCTCCTCCAGTACTAGAGCTTATTGGGCCACGGTTGCATCAGTGGAGACACTAACTGATGAAATGTGTTGAAATTTCAGCATCAGCGTGCATCTCAGACTGATGAGGGATTGAGGGAATTATTTTAACTCAGTGAAGAGACAGCGTGAAAGACATTAATCAGATATCAGTGACTTTTTATTGCTTGTGTCCAATATTCTTCAGCATAACTTCTGCAGTGACGCTCGTGCGCCCATATGATGCATCATTTAAAACCCTTTCTTTCAGAGACTTTTGTATTTTAAGTTATATTTTTTATTTTTTGAGCAATGCACCATCAACACTTATTTAGGCCAATACCTTTCAACACACACACACACACACACACACATACACACACACACACACACACACACACACACACACACACACACACAGTCTTGTTTGAGTACACCAATTTCCATTGGCACTTATTGTTTTTTGATTGTAATGTCATCCTGTTCTGTCAGTCTGTCATCAGGTGAGAGGTGGAACCAACCCCCTTGACTTCCTGTCAAAGACTTTTCCCGTCATTTACGGATCGTGTTTAACTACAGCGTTAGTCATGATTTACACTTTAGGCGCAGATTTACTCAACAATGAACAAACTGTACTCTAAGAAACATGCACACCAACACAAAGTGTCATTGACTGCCAGTATCGCATGAGTCATCTAATCAAATATTCCTTGATGTGATGCCAAAGTCTCACTTCCCTTTAACCGAGAATCCAACCGTATATTGAATCTTCAACCTTTAAACATTCAATTAAGGCTTTAGTGATTACTACTTCATGGAATAAAAATACAAGGTAACTCTTTATAATGGTGTAACAAACTTCTTTGTATTAACTTTGTCTTGCACCCACTAGGGTGCAGTGTTGTCTGAGAAATTTGAGAACTTCAGAGCAAATATTAAAAGCACACGTATCTTGGCATAGAAACACATACAGTGGCCCCAAAAAGTATTTGGACACTTAAGCCACACTTAAAAATGTATCCGTGCCATTGCGTTAGGTGATAAAATATCAAACCGAGTGACATTTCTTTTAAAGAAAGCATACTTTTCAGGCAAAACATTAATGTTTAAATGATAAAACAATTGCTATACTGTTAAAACACCTTGTTTACAAACTTAGTGCAACATGTCCATAGTTAATAGTTTGCAGATACTGTTTGGTTTGATATTTTAATTGTGACTCAATGTCCCAACACTTTTAGGTACATACTGTACGTACAAGTCAACAATTCAACCTTAATCTGCATCAGAGAAGTGGTTAATTGGTGTTAAGGATCCCAAATAGTGGAAATATGATCATCTGAACGCCAAGACTAACCAATCATGTGAAGATCTGCAGTTGTTTTACAATCCTGTGTTGAACTAAAACTGATTTAGGTTTTATCAAGGCCCTGTATCTCTCTCTCTTTCTCTCTCTCATCCGGTTGGTAGTTTGCAAGAACAATAAATCATTGACAAATGTGAACTCTATTCTTAGCCTTGTATTACAGTTGGCCCTAACTAGTTCTTTCCTAACACTGTTGGACAAAGCTGAATGCATTGTTTCTGATCAGTGAAAGGGATCTTTGATCAGGCCAAGGCTTAATTGAAAATGATAAAGAAAGTAAGCAGGCATGCTCAGTGAGGCCAGATGTGCCTGTAATAGTCCCCAAAGCTTTGCACACGCACAACGATCGCAATATAATTGTGTTTTCCCTTTTGGAGAGTTTGGCCAAGCGATGTAAGTAGAGGAAGTCTTCAATCACTCAGCAGTGAAGCCGTTCCTCAATACAAGAAAAAAGTATTATTACACCTCTCAGTCTGTTTGTGAAGTCCTGCTGTGTGATCTGTCAGCTTTGGCGTGATGGAATTTTAAATATTTTTTTCTGCTTATAAAATAATATTACCAAAAAATAATAATGCTCATCATCATTAGTCATAGTCATTTGTTCAAAATGTAAAATGTAATGTAATGTTTTGGGCTCTGCTGAACTCTGGCATCAAGTGTATTTTAAATCAGAGAACTAAGAGTGATAACTGTAAGTCATTTCAGGCAGGCACTTAAAGGGGTCATAGGATGCTACATGCACTTTTACAAGTTGTTTGAACTGAAATGTGTGTTGGCAGTGTGTGTACACAACCACCATATAATGATAAAAATCCACCCAGTGATTTTCTTTAATCTACTAAAATCTTTACCCCTTTCTCAAATCGAGCCGATCTCAGATGCCTGTCTGTGTGACGTCACACAGACAGGCCCCTCCCACAATAGTTTGATTGACAGTAGCGTTTCAGCACAGACTGGACTGGTTTAACATACCTCAGACCCGCCCTGAGTGAGCTGTCATCAGTCTGCCATTGTTTCACCGCTGGAGCAGTTGTAGACAAGAATGACTCCTAAGCGATTGAGGTGTTCTGTTGTTGGATGTAATAAGGAACATAGCAGTCGTCATTTACTCTGGACATCTGAGCCACTGAAGACGCAGTGGATTACGTTTGTTTCTGAAGGGAATGAACCCCCCAGCTACCTAAATGCATCTATGTTCGCGCTAATCATTCGTGATTCAGCTTCACCTACAGAAGTGAGTATAAGGTTTTTTAATGAACACTGTAAAAAATTACCGTGAATTTAACGGTAAATTCCCCTACTATATACGGTGAAAAACTGTATTGGACATTACATGTATTGGACATTAATTTTATGGTAGTATACCGTTTTTGGAAGTGGAAAAAGACCGTATAATTTACAGTGAATAACTGTAAATTGACATTCCCAAAAATCCCTGCGTTACATTTCAAATTTGATGTCTTTTTTGTTGAAATAACTATGTTTCTTCTTAGTTTTTTCTTATCAGTTTTGTATATTAGGGTTGTGTGTTACACCTAATGTTGTTAAATGAATGTTTATTGCATTATTTCAGTTTCACGTGTGTTGCCATGATGGTGTTTAGTGTTTGTGTGCATGACACTGTGCACCTTCTACCTGTTATTATTTAAAAGCTGCTTGTGATGGGCTTTGGTTCATCATGTGACTTTCTCATCACCACCTGCATTTGGTGGTTATCAGTGTATTACAAAGGTACAAAACAGATTTCAGTACTTCAATAGGTTGGTATATTAACATTATATCAGTTAATGAAATTACGGTATTTAACTGTAAATTTAAGTTAAAACCTAAAATGTTGCTACCGTACCTTTTATGGTAAAATTCCGGCGGAAATTTTACGGAATTTTTTTTACAGTGAATCTTTGCAAATCACCTTTCCTAATAATGAGCTAATTAGCAAGTTTCACGATGAATGCGGCTAAAGTAAACAGTCTCTCTGAGAGCAGCTCGGAAGAAAGGGGCGGGGTCAGCAGAGCTCATTAACGTTTAAAGGAAAATCCTACAAAACGGCTTTATCTGAAAAGAGCTGTTTTAGACAGGGTAAAAAAAGTGTTTTTTACACTACCATTGAGAAATTTTAACCAAACTATGTTACAGACTTTTCATTAAAACCCTAAAGAATTAAAAAATCATATCGACTTGTTGAAAATGGGCATCCGATGACCCCTTTAAATCTGTTGAACAGCTAATTAATTTAGTTAGCCTATGTTGCACAGCATATGCACATACAGGTGCATCTCAATCAATTAGAATGTCGTGGAAAAGTTCATTTATTTCAGTAATTCAACTCAAATTGTGAAACTCGTGTATTAAATAAATTCTATGCACACAGACTGAAGTAGTTTAAGTATTTGGTTCTTTTAATTGTGATGATTTTGGCTCACATTTCACAAAAACCCACCAATTCACTATCTCAACAAATTAGAATACTTCATAAGACCAATAAAAAAACATTTTTAGTGAATTGTTGGCCTTCTGGAAAGTATGTTCATTTACTGTACATGTACTCAATACTTGGTAGGGGCTCCTTTTGCTTTAATTACTGCCTCAATTCGGCGTGACATGGAGGTGATCAGTTTGTGGCACTGCTGAGGTGGTATGGAAGCCCAGGTTTCTTTGACAGTGGCCTTCAGCTCATCTGCATTTTTTGGTATCTTGTTTCTCATTTTCCTCTTGACAATACCCCATAGATTCTCTATGGAGTTCAGGTCTGGTGAGTTTGCTGGCCAGTCAAGCACACCAACACCATGGTCATTTAACCAACTTTTGATGCTTTTGGCAGTGTGGGCAGGTGCCAAATCCTGCTGGAAAATGAAATCAGCATCTTCAAAAAGCTGGTCAGCAGAAGGAAGCATGAAGTGCTCCAAAATTTCTTGGTAAACGGGTGCAGTGACGTTGGTTTTCAAAAAACACAATGGACCAACACCAGCAGATGACATTGCACCCCAAATCATCACAGACTGTGGAAACTTAACACTGGACTTCAAGCAACTTGGGCTATGAGCTTCTCCACCCTTCCTCCAGACTCTAGGACCTTGGTTTCCAAATGAAATAC